TTGTCGAGCCCAGAGCCCTGCGGTTTCCACCACGTGGCCCCGTGGGACGCCCGAGCCCTGCCGCTCACCATTCGTAGGGGGACGGGTTTCCCAAGGGGAAGGAACCCCTTGTTGGTATTTTACAAGATGCTTTCAAGTTCTGCCTCCCGGGACGTGAACGCACGTCTGTTTCTCTGTGAACGTTAATTGTGGCGCTGAATTATTGATGATGTTCCCGGGAGACGTTGTTGGGCTTTGGGCACCTTTTTCAGCGAATTACCCAGAAGCAACTTCTAAGGGAAGCAGCGAGACACACGCTTGTCAGCAGCTGCAGCGTCTCGCACGTGACATCGGCGTTTAAGGTGCCCCTTCGTGCTGAGCTTCTGCCCCCCCCCCCCCCCCCCCCCCCCCCCCCCCCCCCGGTGAGCTCCCAGCGTTCCCGACGTGAAGGGGGTGACGGATGCTCTGAAACTCCGCGCCCGTCCACGAGTGTTCTTCGTCTCACGTGTCGGTTCGCCGCGTCGTGACAGCTGCATGCACCTGCGTGCGGCCACCTGAAACGCGCCCGGGAGCGTCCCCGCCCCGCCCGCTGGGTTTCCGCCCCATCCCTGCCTCTAGCCCCGCCTCCCGGGCCTGCGTCCTGTCTTGCCACCGCCACCTCGTTCCGCTGGGCCCTGGCGCCTGCGTTTGGGTTTCGCGTGCGCCCTCTGGGGCCTGGCGTCCTTCATTCAGCACCATGTCCCGGGCCCCGTCCGCGTAGTGTCAGACCTCACTCCTTGCCGTCGTGGCCGAGTGCGGTTCCGCTGCAGGAACGCGCCGAGACGTGTTCCTCCGTCCTCGGGAGACAGACCGCGGGTCTGGGTCCAGGTCGGGGCTGCCGCCAGCCGGCTGCTATAAAACTCTGCTACGGTGCTTTTGTGAACTTTTTTCAAAATTACATTTTATTGATGATGCTGCTATAGTTGTCCCAATTTTTCCCCCTTTGCCCCCCTCCACCCAGGGCCCCCCACTCCCTCAGGCCATCCCCCACCACTGCTCGTGTCCGTGGGTCGTGCGTGTAGGTTCTCGGCTGCTCCGTTTCCCACACGGCCCTGTGCACCCCCAGGGCGGTTCTGTGACGCCTGTTTGTGCTTCTGGATCCCCTCCCCTCCTCACCCCTCCCCCCACCCCTCCCCTCCAGCAACCATCAAAACCCTCTCCGTGTCTGTGACTCTGTCTCTGCTCTGCGTGTTTGCTTGATTTGTGTTTTAGATTCAGTTCTTAATACGTTTGTATTTTTGTCATTTTATCGTTCATAATTTTGATCATCTTCTTTTTCTTAAATAAGTCCACTTGACGTTTCATATAATAATGGCTTGGCGATGATGAACTCCTGTAGTTTTTTCTTGTCTGGGAACCTCTTTATCCGCCCTTCCATTCTAAATGATAGCTTTGCTGGGCAGAGCAATCTTGGCTGTAGGTCCTTGCCTTTCATGACCTTGAATATTTCTTGCCAGTCCCTTGTAGCCTGGAAAGTTTCTTTTGAGAAATCAGCTGACAGCCTTATGGGAACTCCCCTGTAGGTAACTAACTGCTTTTCTCTTGCTGCTTTTAAGATTCTCTCTTTATCTTTAACTTTTGGCATTTTAATTACGATGTGTCATGGAGGGGGCCTCTTTGCTTCCATCTCGTTTGGGACTCTCTGTGCTTCCTGGACTTGCCTGTCTGTTTCCTTCACCAAATTAGGGAATTTGGGTTTTGATCATTGTTTTTTCAGATAAATTTCCAATTTCTTGCTCTTTCTCTTCTCCTTCTGGCTCCTCTATTATGTAAATGTTGGACCTCTTGAAGTTTTCCCAGAGGCTGCTTACACTGTCCTCATTTTTTAAAATTCTTTTCTGGTTATTCCAATTAGTTGTTTTTTGCTTCCTTACCTTTCAAAGCATTGATATGATTCTCAGCTTCATCCACTCCACTGTCGTTTCCCTGTAAAGTGTTCATTATTTCAATTAGTGTATCTTTTGTGTCTGGGTCTTCTTTACGCTGCTGAGGTCCTCACTGAGTTCCCTGAGCACCCTTACAGCCAGTGTCTTGAACTTTGCATCTGACAGATTGCTTATCTCCATTTTGTTTAGCTTTTTTTCTGGAGTTTTGATCTGTTCTTTCATTTGGGCCACGTTTCTTTGTCCCCTCATTTTAGCAGCCTCCCTGGGTTTGTTTCTGTGTATTAGGCAGAGCTGCTCTGACTCCGTGTCCTGGTGGTGTGGCCTCATGTAGCAGGTGTCCTGTAGGGACCGGTGGCACAGCCTCCACTAGCACCCAAGCTGGGCACTCGAGGCACACCCTCCATGGAGGGCCAGCTGTGCGGGGGCAGGGTGGCGGTGCTCAGACATGTCTGTAGTCCTCCACTTCCTCCCCCTCTCCCCTCCTCCGGGTGCAGAGAGCAGAAAGGGGACGGTGGCCTGTGCTCTCTGGGTGCTCAGGCTCTGGGGTGTCCCAGATGGTGCAGGCCAAGGTCGGCCCCTCCGTGTTCTGCTGGGGCCATGCTGCATGAGCTGTCCAGCTGTCTGAGATGGCTGCTGCTTGTGCTGGGTTTGGAGGTTCCCGGGCGAAGCCAAGCTGTGAGTCTGGGCTGGCTGCTGCTGGTGCCAGGCTTGGGGCCACTTAGCAGGAGGTGGGGGGCCTGGGGGCTCACTGTTGCTCGTTTGAGAGGGGTTAGGAAGTTGGGAAGCAGGAGCCAAGACCAGCCATTCATGTGGAAAAGTCGCTGTTAACAGCTCGGGTGGGCCGTAATTTGGGTGGGAGGGGGTCTCGGGGGGTCTCCAGGCAGGTCGGGTTGAACAGTGTCGGCCAGGTTGATGGACCCTCAACCTGCCGGCCGGCTCCTGGGCACCTGCCTGCCGGCTCTGCGGCTCTGCGGGGGGTGAGGGGGCTCCGAAAGGGGACGGTGGCCTCTGCTGTCATTTTTGTCTGGGAGAAAACTGTCCCCCAGCTCTCGCCCCGGTACCAGACACCCCAGTTCCTCCCTGTGCGCCCCTGGTGCCCTTCCAGCTGCTACCCTGGTGCCGGAGCTCAGGGGCGGTGAGCCTGAGTGAGTCCGTGTGTGGGCTCTTTAGGGGGAGCTGCTTGGGGCTCCAGCTGTTTCTTCCACCGACTCAACCCCCACTGGTTTTTGCGGCCAGAAGTTGTGGGGACTTACCTTCCGGGCACCGGGACCCTGGGCTGGGGGGCCTGGTGTGGGGCTGGGGCCCCTGGCTCCCGAGACACCCCTCCTGAACGTTTACCCACCGGGAGTGGACGTGGGACCAGGCCCTTCCGCGTCCGCGCCCCCCTGCCGGTCTGGACGGACGTGGTTTCTCTAATTCTGTAGTTGTCAGCCTTCCGTTCAGCTCAATTTCTGATGGTTCTGAGCGGCGGCTGCTCCGCAACTTGGTTGTCATTCCGACGTGGTTGTGCGCGGAGGCGAGCCGTGTGTCCCTGTGCCGCCATCTCCACGGGGAGTCACCTTTTGTGAACTTCCCTTTGTAAGCAGGAACCGCCCGAGGGCCAGCTGGGTCCATGGTCGCGTGTTTCCGAGCAGCTGCCCGCCGTGCCTCAGCCGCCGCGTGTGAGCGGCCGGCCGGTCTGCGCGCTGGCCCGCGCTGAGCCCTCTCGGCGGCTCTGACCCCGGTGATCCCCTGGCGGTGGTGGTCTGGCCCGCGTTCCCCGGGTGACGGTGGCGTCGCGGTCTGCCCGGCGCACAGCCGTTTGCCCGTCTCCTGCCGCAGTACCCATTCCCCGCAGCTCGCCCCTGGGGGGGGAGGGGCGTTTGGACGTCTTTGTGGGCGTGGAGGGTCCTTGCGTGTCCCGGACCCAGGCCCTGTGTCTTGCGTCCACGCCGCGGTGTTCCCTCCGCCCGTGGCTCGTCTGCTCCTTTCCGGGAGGTCTTTGTGCAAGAGAAGTTGTTACCTCGCGTGAAATCCAACCGCGCAGGCCCTTCTTTACTAACGTGTGCGCTTGCTCACCTGTGTTTTGTACTTTTTTCCAGCTAATCCCTGCCTCCCAGGATGGAAGAGGGTGCGCGTCTGCGCCCCGAGGCGAGGCGGCTGGACCAGGCCCCACGAGGGGCGGACGGTGCCGGTGCCGCAGGTCGGTCCGCAGCCCGCGCCGCTCCGCAGCCGGAAGGTGGGGGAGGGGGGCAGTGCTCGCGTCCCTTCCCACCTCCGTCTCCAGGGCGACCACGGCGTCTCTGAAACGCGGCCTCTCTCGCAGGCAAAGCGAGGCTGAGCGCCTGGGACCCGTGAGCCGCAGCGTTTGGTCCCCAGCTCCTCCGCTGAGGACGAAACGCCGTTTTTACCCCGGCCCTTTGAGTGTGGCCTACTTTTTTTTTTTCTGGAGGCTTTTAGATTTTTAAAAAATATTTTGTTTATTTATTTTTAGAGGGAGGGGAAGGGAGGGAGGAAGAGAAGGAGTGAAACACAGATCAGTTGCCTCACGTGCGCACCCAGCCGGACACAGAGCCATGTGCCCTGACCAGGAATCGAACCAGCGACCTTCAGCTCTGTGAGCTGACGTCCAACCCGCTGCGCCACACTGGTCTGTTTTTTTTGTTTTTTTTTAAATTTCGAGTGGTCGGAGGTTTTTCTCAGATGAGCCCCCTGGTGCTCCCGAGGGGCCCTGGGAACCACGCGGTTCCTGCCCCCCCCCCGCCCCCGCCGCCCGCTCGGCGCTACGCTGCCCCATCCCCCCAGCACGGGGCGTCTCTCGCCGCCGTCTCCCTCCTGCTCCCGTGACTGCGTGTCGGTGCTCTCGAGCGCCCCCTCCGGCCGCGCCCGTGGAGACCCGCGGCGTCCCGGCGCCCGCTGGCTGCGGTCCTCGGCAGCCCTCGGCAGACTTGCCCGCCACCAGGGGCCCGAGCAGCTGGCCGCCTGTGTCGGCTGTAGCTTCCCGTGTTGCTGAAGAGACTTTCACTGATTCACTTGAGACAGCGACAAGGAAACTACCTACTATGTGGACAAACAGAGTCTGCTGCAGCAGAAGACAGGGTTCCCACCCCTGCCGTGATGTCGCGGGTCACGTGTCCCCTGGAAAACTGGGCGCTCGTGAAACAGGGGCGGAAAAGCCAGGCGACGTTTTGCATTGTCGTGGAAACAGGTCTGACTGTGCAGACCCCCTGGAAAGGTTTTAGGGACCCCCCCCAGGGTTCCTTGGAGCGTTCTTTGAGAGCCCCTGCTCTGGGAGGCCATCACCGTTGGTGCCCGTTCGAGCTTGTCAAGGTTTATTCTTGAGTTTCCGTTTAAAATTTATTGATCTGCTTTTTTTTTTTTTTTTTTAATTCGTCACCTTGCTTTCTAGGAAGTGATGAGCGGGAAGACCCGGAGCTCGGGGTCCAAGCCCCTGCTCCGGAAGCCGAGGCCCAGGCCGACTCGGAGGACTGCCGGTAATGAACACGGTGGGCAGTGCTGTGCCCCCGAGCCCCGGGCCCAGGCGGCGGGGTGGGGCTGGCGGGGGGACAAGTCCTGCAGGACATGCCGGCTGCACGGTGGCAGCCGGTGTCCTCTCCACACCAGTCCCGAGAGCACGCAGGGGGCCGGAGCCGACAGACGGGGCAAGGCGACCACCCAGGACCGGGCTCGGGCCGCTCTCCTGCGGAAGGAGCTGGGCGACCTGGCCCAGCAGCGCGCGGACGGGGAGCTCTCCATCCAGAAGGCCAGGTGAGCCGGCGGGGGGGGGGGGCGGCGAGTGTGCCCCGGCCACGTCCCTGCCCAGTTGGCAGCGGCGCCTTCCGTGCGTTCCCCGAGTGTCCGAGAAGGAGCCCCGTGGGCACACGGGGAAGCCAGAAACAGTTTGCGCAGCTGCCCCTCGGCCGCCCGTGTGTGGCCGCCGGCCTCCGACTGCCTTGCCCGTGTGCGCGCGTTTCTGGGCGGGGCCACGGCCGTTCTTTCTGGGCGGGGCCGAGGCGGTTCTTGCTACTCGTCGTTTGAGAGCAACGTGCAGACCTCACGGCCCTTGACTCCGGAACGCTTCCGTGGCCCCTGAAGTCCCAGCCCCCCCCTCCCGCGTGGCCTCTGGGCCTCACCTCGCCCCAGAGCGCCCTCGGAGCCTCGGACGGCTGTCCCCAGACACTGTCCCCAGACGCCTTTCGGAGCCCGTGCTGTGAGCCCTGCTCTGCTGTTGTGACCAGTGCACCAGGCACCCCCCCCCCACGGAGGGACGTTCGGAGCCAGGGTTCGCCGCAGGCCCCACGTGGGTCTGGCTGTCCCGTGGTCTGTGGTCTGGACCCCTGATGAGGCGCATGCGGTGCCCCCTGTGCCCCCCAGGCCTCCCGGGGGGCTCTTCAGGGCCTGAGCTCCATGTTTGTGCTGGTGCACGGTCACCCCCGTTGGGGTGCAGGTCACATGGGTGGCCCCCCGCCGGGGTCTTCGGAAAACAGACCAGACCCTGCACGCGTGGCTGTCAGAGACTCCCCTGGGAGAGAGGACACGGCCGCAGCCACTCGCCCGGGCCGCCTGCTGAGGCCGGGAGCGGCGGGGTCAGCGGGGGCTCCTGGGGTGGCCATGGGGGGCAGGGGACACGAGGCCAGTGCTCCAGACCATTTCCCCGGGTTCTGGCCTCGACCCCAGGGAGGAGCTGCAGGCCTGCTGCCGGCGGACGGACCTCCTCACCAAGCAGCAGCAGAGCGTGGCGGCCGAGACGGAGGCGGAGAGAGAGGCCCACAACACGTAGGTCCTCACTCTGCGGGCAGGCGGGGCGGCTGGGCGGCCGGGGGAGAGACCAGCCTCCCGCCGAGTGTGAGAAAGGGGCGTGACCCAGAGTGGACAGCCACCACAGGCTGGTCACAGGGACTGGTCACAGGAAGCTGATGGCTGTGAGGCCAGGAGATTGGTCACTCGGAAGCAGGTGGCCAGGGGCGGGCTCCCCGAGGAAGTGACCTCCCGACTGGGTCCCGGTGACCAAAACAAGCTGCTGTGCAGTGGTGGGAAAGAACTTTCTGGGTCGTGAGAATGTGAAACCCACTTGGGCCACCCAGGGAGAGCGGCGGGCGTCCTGGGGGCAGTGCGGGGCGGGGCAGGGGAGGACCCCCAGGGCCGGCTTCGCCCAGGTGAGGAGGCCCCGTGGGGCCGTGCACCTCTCGGGGCTGCCCACCCCTCCCCCTCGGGCAGAGACGGCCCGCCTGGGATCAGAACTGGTTCTGGGGGGGTCGGCGCAGTGTCCCGGGAGCCCGCAGCTCCCGGAGGGAGGAGGGAGTGAAGTGAGAACAGCCCACACCGGGTCTCAGTGGCTTGTTGGCCACTCGGCTGCTTCAGTCACTCACCGAGCGTGCCGGTGGCTTCCCGGCCCCAAACCTGGGGGGCCTGCTGCTCCCAGGGGCTCCCCACCGGGGGAACCGCCCCCCCCCGCCTGGAGCGGTGCGCAGGGTCTTGCTCCCCAGACTCAGGCCCTGACCCGTGTCCCGCTGTCCTCCCGCCGCCGCGGCTCTCAGCGCAGCCGTGGGCCGCCTCCAGGCCGTGTCCAGGCGCCTGGGCGCCGAGCTGGAGAACCAGAGGGAGCTGCAGTCGAAAATCAGGGCCGTGCTGAGGGAGAGCGAGTGAGTGCGGGGGCCGCTCCGGCCCGTCTGCCTGCGTGGACACCCTGAGCTCACTACGCCTGCCGTGCCCCCACCCCCAAGCCCGGACCCTGGCCTCTGCCCCTGGGGCCCCGGCCCGCCCCCCTCCCCTGCCTGTGGCTCCCAGCCGCCCCCTCCCAGTGCAGCGGGGCCCCTTTCGAAGGTAGCCCCTCCCCCAGCCCCGCCCGGACACTTGAGAAGTGGAGAGCCAGGCTCCACCGGGTCGGACTCCGGCGAGGGGGGCAGGGCGAGCGGCTGAGCCAGTGGTGGGCGGGCCTGGGCTCCAGCGACTGCAGACCCCTCCCCCTCGGACTCGGAGGGGGCGCTGGCCCACCAGATGTGCCCGGTGGCCGCTGGTGGTGCGGGGTGCCCCGGCCCTCCCAGATCCCGGGGGTGGGTGACCCGGGCCGCCAGCCCCTCTGCCGACACAAAGAGAAAGGCCGCTCGCTCGCCAGGCGCGCCATGTGGCACATCGAGATCCGGGAGGGCCGGCTGCAGGCGGAGTGGAAGTCCGCGCAGGAGGAGGTGGAGGCCGCCAGGGGGCGCCGGCAGGTGCGGGCGGCGGAGCAGCTGCACCGGGAGGAGGCGGCCGAGAGGAAGGCGGAGCGGAACCGGCTGCTGAGGGCCAGGTGGGCGGCCCGGGCCTGCAGGCCCGGCCTCACCTCTTCCTTGGCCTCCTGTCTGGGGCCCCACCCGCCACAGCCCTGCCTCCCCCCACCCCCAGCTCTCGGCCACAGCCCCCTGTCCGGGACCCCCAGACACCCTCCCCACGCCCCACTGCCCGCTCTGGCTCCCCGTGCGCCTGAGTCTTAGTCCCTGCACGTCCCGTCCCCTGACTCTGGGCAGGACGAGCATGCATCCCGAAATGTGTCACAGGCCGTGGGACTGAGCACCCCCACCGGAAGGGTGTGCGTACGCCTCTGGCCCCTGGGTGTCCACCTCTGTGTGTGTGTGTGTGTCTGTCTGTGTGTGTGTGTCTGTGTCCCCTCCGTCCCCAGCCTCTCCCCCATCACTCGGCTCCATCTTCATCCGGGGGCCTCCTAGAAGCCAGGAGGCACCACCCCACGCTGCCTCATCCAACCTTGGCCTCACCCGGCTGCCCGCTCCGTGGGTCCTGAGCCCCTGGGCCCTCGCCCGTGTGGTCCTGGTGCCCGGGCTCCCCCAGCCGCTCTGGGGCTCCCCAGGCGGCCCCTGGCCTGCTGCCCGAGGAGTCCGGCCTGCCCTGCATCACGGAGGGCAGTGGGCGGGCGCGAGCTGGGGGTCAGCGCTGTGTACGGCCCGCAGGAAGGCGCTGCACCTGCAGAGGGAGAACGGGCTCCGCCACCAGCAGCTGCTGGACGACGCCAGGAAGAGCCACCGGGCGGCGGTGAAGTTCCTGAAGGCCTCCTTGGGAAGGTCCGTGTGCCGGGCTGCGGGGGAGTCTGGGCGCCCAGCCGCCCGCCTGTGTTCGCCATTCAGTCCTCACGTCACCGTCAGGAAAGAGTGACTCCGTGCCTCTGGCTGTGAGCTGCTCGCCTGGGGTGTCCAGCACAGGACCGCAGGACGCGTGGTCCTCCAGCCCAGAAACACGGGCGTCGGCCCCGCTCTGTCCACGCCCCTCAGCGTCCCCACGCCGGTGTCCCGGTGGGCGGGACCCCGCTCACAGCGCCCCTTCCGCAGGGTGCGGGAGCGGGAGCGGGAGCAGGAGGTGCAGACCCGCGAGCACCTGCGGCGGCGCATGGACGCCGTGCTGGCCCTGAAAAACAGCATCACCGCCAACCGGGTGGGTGCCACCCCACCCCCTGCTCCCACGGCCCCGCCCACCCAGCGGGACAGCCACCCCCCACTCCCGGGGCCCCAACCCAGCCCGTGCAGGCAGCTTTGTGAACCCCGCTCCTCGGAAGTGCCTCCCGAGTCTTCCTCGCGAGACTCGGTTGCCCCGTGGGGACATACGGAGCGTCCCCCCCAGATTCCTGGCCCAGCAGAAGGTCGGGCAGCAGGAACACAGCGGTCCCGTGCCTGTGGGGCCTCGTCCTGTGGGACGAGGAAAGACGAGGTCTTCCTGGAGGAAGCGGCCTCCCTGGGGCCTGGGGGTATGCGGCTGGCCAGAAGAGCAGAGATGGGGGGGCGGGCACGGCCCGCACAAAGTTGGCCAGGAAGGGCGGGGGAGCGGAGGTGGGCTGGCCAGCCACAGCCGCAGGGACAGCAGGCTCCGGCCTCACTGCGGGCCCAGGCGGGGAGGGCTCCGGTGTGCACGTGCCCCCATGCTGGTGCTGTGACCTCGGTGTCTTCTGTCCCCAAGGAAACCCTCCGGAAGTTTCAGGCGTGGGGTCAGGCCAAGGCAGAGCTGGCCGAGCAAAAAACCCAGGCTGAGAAGCAGGCGATCGTGGCCCAGGGTGGGGACGCCTTCAAGCACCTCTTCCACCAACACCGGCGCCAGGAGCTGGAGGCCCAGAACCGGTGAGGGCACAGAAGGTGCCTGCCCGGTCGGGGGGATCTTGGGGGAGCTGGGGGGTGCCGGGGGGCGAGGGGTGCCCATCTCTCCTTGGGCCTCCCCAGGACAGGCCTGCAGGATACAGCCACAGGGCTTCAGCCCTCCCTATTTCTGCCAAGCCCCTCCCTCCACACCCCCCTTTCCAGACCCCTGCCCCTCACCTGGCCCAAACAGTCAGAGCCCCTTCTGGGCCTCGGGGCATAGTTCCGTGGGCCCCCCTTGCCCCTGGCACTGACCCTCAGGGTCCCGGCCTGCTTTCTCAGAAGCTGCTGTGGGCCCCTCCTTGCTCCCCCCGCCCCGCCCCCGGGCACTGCCAGCTGCCTGGCTTGGGCATCACCCTCTGCTTCGCCCAGAGCAGAGCTTAGGGCTGCCTTCTCAGCTCAGCCCGCACCCCTGCGATTCACCCTGAGCCCCTCCTGTCCCTGTAGGCCCCTGTACACAGCTCCCAGGTGGCACCTGCCGGGAGCGATGTGGGCCCCCACAGGCCTCACCCAGGAGTGGGTTCCGCAGACCCTGGGCCCAGGTCTCTGCCCCGCCCCCTCCCCACTCCTGTCTGGAGGACCTGTCCCTCCCCACTCCCGGTCCCCACCCCCACTCCCCCAAAGGCCTGCTGTCCGGGTCTGGCCAGGTGTGGCCTCCTGGTCCCCTCGCTGGGAAGTCGTGGGGAGTTGCGGGGCCCTGAGGGTTACCTCCAGAACTCTGCCATCACCGCACCCCGGTGGAGGATCCCGGGGCAGCTCTGCCCGCCTCTGACTCCCTCAGTCGGGGGCAGGCCTGGCACCCGGGGGCGGGAGCCCAGAGGAGCAGCTGAGGGAGGGGAGGAGTGGCCTCCCCCCAGTGCTGCGGCGGGGCGCCCTGGCCGCCAGCCTGGCCGTCAGGAGCAGGGGCTGCCCGTGGAGGTTCTGGGTTTACTGTGGGAGCTGGACTGGGCGGAGGGTCACGTCCCCGGTGCCCGGGGGCAGGGCTGGGGCGAGGGGCACGCGGTGCCGGCTGGGCCGGCCTATGCCAGGGAAGGGCCGGAGAGGACCCGGCCAGCGAGCAGCCGCCCAGCTCCAGGGTCCAGAGGCTGTGGCCTGCTCTCAGCCCCCGCCTTTCCCCAGGGCCTTTGAGGAGGAGCAGAGGCTCAGGAAGCAGGAGATCGTGAGCCGGATCTTGAAGGAGGCGGCCGAGGAGAGCAGGCGGAGGAGGCCGCACTCCCCGGCCAGAGCTGCAGTCCGGCCGACCCTGAGAGACAAGACGTGGGACTACCTCGCCGGCCTCGGCGAGGGGGGGGCTCCCTGCGCCCCCTGCTGCCCGGAGGTGAGCAGGCTCAGCGTGCCCCTGCAGGGGAGCAGAGGGACCCCTGGGGGGACGCCACGGGGACCGCATACACCTCGGCAGCCCCCTGTCCCGACAGGCAGCCCCAGCGGGCGGCGGGGGGAGTGTTCCAGTGCCCCCCCACCCCGCCGCTCCCTCTGAGGGACGCAGGGTGGTGTCAGGGCCCCGGGTGTGTGTGTGTTGGGCAGGCCACAAGGTGCCCGCCTGGAAGCTGGCCTGTCCCGGTGACGGCTCAGCTGCAGGGGGACGACTCGTGGGTCATTGCACCTCATCAGCCAGGGGAGCCACTGACTCAGGCCACCGCTCCGGTCCCCAGTTAGCAGGTCGAGACCGAAGGTCAGCCCCAGTCCAGGGTCAGGGTCAGGGCCAGGGCCAGGTCTCTGCCGCACTCACCCCAGCGCGGGTCATCGCCTGTGACCACAGACTCCAACCCCTCACCCCCGGCCCCGCAGCTCTCCTCCTCCTCATCTCCCTTCCATCCCTCCTCCCACCTGGGCTGGCTCTCTGCCAGCCGCCCGAGGGTGTGGGGCAGGGAGGGCAGCGACCCCGGCACCCGAGGGTCCACCGAACACGCTGCCAGGAGGGCCCCTCGGGCGTCTCTGCGTCGGGCCCTGTGGGGTCTGCACGTGCGTCTTAGGTCTTCCCCAGGCCCGGGCGTGGCTCACAGCCCCCTGCCCTCACCCCCTCTCGCAGCCTCTGACCAGCTGCCGCCAGGAGACACCCCTGCCCTGTTTCCCCCGGGGGCCCCTCCGTTATCCTGACCTCTCTCTGACGCCCCGTCTGGCGCGGGCCCCGAGCTCTGTCCCCTGAGCCCCGAGGGCCGTTCGAGGTGTGGTGGTTTCCGGGACAATCGGAGTTGCCACGCAGCTGAGGGTCACAGCCGTCAGCAAGAGGCTGCGTCTGTGGGTGCTGGGGAAAAATGTGCAGCAGTCGACAAAGACACTTGTGTTTTAAGTGGGAAAACTTAGCGAGCAGTAGGGGCCCCGGCCTCCAGGAAGGGAAGGGGGTCTCTTCCCTCCCTGCTGGTGCAGCCCGCTCCTGCCTCTGTCCCTGACCAGAAGGACGACGGTGCTCCCGGCCCTGAGCCCTCGCAGCTGGTGAAACGCATGTCCAGCGAGTCCATCCAGGTGCGCCCCGAGAGCACCAGCGGGGAGGAGGACACCCTGGCCGAGCCGGAAATCCCCGGGCTGTGGGACAAGGACCGTGAGCGGCACCAGGTACCCGCTCTCCTGCTTCCTGGCCCCTGCTGCCGGCCGCCGGGCCGTCGTCCCCCACAGCCTGCGTCTCCCGAGGGTCCTCCCGGGCCTCGTGCAGCGCCCTGGTCCTGGCCTGGCCCGGGCCTGCTGCTCTGAGGGTTCCCCCTCCCCCGAACCGGTCTCCCCGCCCCAGAGCCTTCCGGGGACCAGTGTGCACGCCACCATCCCAAACTTCCCCCCCCGCCTCGTGGGGCGGCCACAGGGGCAGGGATGCGGTCAGGGGACGCGAGGGTGGGTGGGACGGTGCCTAATCTCGTTCTGCTTAGTCTTGGGCAAACGTGTTTCCAGGAAAAGGCACAAGTTCACGACTTTGTCTGACGATCTCTCTCAAGGCACACTGGCCGTCCAGGGTGCTGCTTCTGAAGGAGCAGATGCAGCTCCGTGAGCCAGGGAATTAGCCGGTGTGCAGGGCACCCCCGGGACAGCGGCCACCGACTGTGCTGCGTCCCTGCGGCAGCCGGCCAGGCCAGGCCGCACCCGGGGTGGGCCGCACCCACGCTGGGCCTGCGAACGGACTGGCTCCCGCCGCAGCCAGGGCAAACCCACGCTGGTGCTGCTGGTTCTGGGGGAGCCCGGCTGGCCGGGCCCGAGAGCAGGGTGGCCGGGCTCCAGCCGGGGCCCGGGGGGCGGGGCGAGGGTCCCAGCACACCCAGCTCTTCCGCCAGCAGCAGCGCCTGCTGACCCAGCCGGGACCCCGAGTGGACCGACCCACAGAACTCCCGGGAGGCAGACTCTGGAACGGCTCTAGTCACCGTGTCCTGGAGGCCCCGAGGCCGTCTCTCTCCTGGAGAGAATGCGCTTCCCGAGAGAGAGAGAGAGAGAGAGAGAGAGAGAGAGAGAGAGAGAGAGAGAGAGACCGCGTGAAGACTGTCCCTGGGACCGATTTCACGGCACAGACCCCCCCCCCCCCCCGCGGCGGCCACCCGGGAAGAGCTGCCGGGCACCGGGCTGTCTCCGGGTCCCCTGCTCCTCCGCGGCGAGGCCTCCCTGGCGGCTGGCTCCCCGTGGGGGTGTGGCCCGGGCCCGGCCTTCCTGGCCCGGCTGCGCGGCTCGCTCCTGCCTCCCTCCCCCGGCCCCGGGCGCCCCCGCCCCCCCCCCCCCCGCCAGGACTCCCTCTCCAGGGCAGGCCGCTGTCCCTGTGGCCCCCAGGCGCCCAAGGAGGGCGCGGACCGAAAGCCCGTGGGAGGCACCAAGGCGGACGAGGACATCCTGGCCCGCACCGTGGAGCGGCTGCGCAGCGGGGTGATCCGCAAGCAGGTGGTGTCGGGCCGCGAGTTCAGGGGCTGCCCCTTCAACAGCAAGCCCAGAGTCGTCCACTTCAAGGCGAGCCCGCCGGGGGTCCCGGGCCGCCGACAGCACACCCCTGTCCTTGCCCGGTGCTGGGGGCGACCAGGTCCTCCCTTGGGGGGTGGGCCTTCCCGGGGGCAGTGCTGCAGGGGGTGGGAGCGGGGAGGGGCCGTGGGCCCCGGGGTGCCGCCCAGCCCTCCCCTCCCGGCTGCCACCTCTGGTCCCCGGGAGCCCGCTTCCTGCCTCGACTCTTGGCAGCCGGGCACACGCCCCACGTGGCCCTCGGAGTGGCAGCCCTCCCCAGACGTCTGGGCGGCGCCGGGCCGCCCCTCCGACGTGGCCACTGGGGAGCTTCGGCGACGGTCTCTCCGGTGTCCCCAGGACTTCGACGTCGGCAGAGTGTACAAGAAGAAGATGACGCTGACAAACGCCACCTACACCATCAACTACTGCAGGCTGGAGGGCGTGGACGAGCACCTGCGGGACTTCATCCACATCGAGTGAGGAGCGCGGGCGGGGGCGCGGGCAGGGCAGCGTGGGGGCCCGGGCCGGTCCCGTCTGGCTGCGGCTGCTGTCGCCCCTGGGGGCTCTGACTCCCTGTCTGGGGGTCTCCGTGGCTGCTGCCCGGAGTGGCGCTGGGCGCCGCCCCGTTTCTCGCCCTGGGATTCGGGCTCGGAAAGCTGTCCCCGCGGCTACCGCTCTCTCCCAGGGCCGCGGCTCGCCCTGCATCCCCCCTGGCCGCATGGGTGGGGCGCGCCAGCTGCTCCGTCCCCCTCAGCTGTCACTGTGTCACCCCCGCCCCGGGCCGCCTGGGAGCGGCTGCTCCGACTTCCCGCCAGATCTCCGACCGCAGCTGCCGTGCCTCTCGCCTCCAGAGTCCTGAGTTGTTTCCCCAACCCGCTGGCGTTTCCCCAGCGTCCCGTCCCGTCCCCTCCTCACACCGTGGCCCCGTGTTCCTTCAGTCGGCGACGCTGCCACCTGGAGCTCAGGGCTCTGGCCCCCGTCCTGCTGGGCTGGCTCCTCTGGGGAGCGTCCCCCACCCCAGGGTCCACAGCCCCGGCCCCTCCACGCCTCCCTGCGGAGGAGCTCGTTCCTGAACTTGGGGCTCCCTCCCCAGCACCCACCCCTCTCATTGGTACTAAAGCTCCGGGTCCTTGGCCCCGGCCCTGGGCCTGGCACTTGTCCCCAGGGCCACTGCGGCCACTGCCAGCCCCACACAGCAGCCTTCCTGCGGGCGCTGGCCCCTGGGGACTTTGCCCACCCACGCTTTCCCTCCCTCCCTCCTTCATGCACCACCCGCCCACTCGGGTGTTGCTGCAGAGTGGCCCCTGCGGGCTGAGCCCTGGGAGGCAGCGGGGCGCAGCACCCCAACGAGTGGGAAGGGGCCGTCGGCCCGGCAGCGCTGGGCAGGGGCCACTCTGCAGGGCCTCCCCGCCTGGGGCCCCGGGAGCAGCCGCCTTCTGGAGAGACGGAACCCCAGGTGTGCCGCGTGTCTCTGTGCCCACAGCTTCGAGCCCCCTGGCCCCATGTCGGCCGGTATGTCCTGCGACGTGCTCGTCACCTTCAAGCCCATGGTGAGTGTCTCGGTTCCCACAGCAGGAGACGTGGAAGGGGCTCTCCGTGCCCCGTCGTGAGGGCGGGCGTGGCATCAGCCTCCGGCTGTTCCTGAGCTCTGTGGACAGACGTCATGAGGGAGGACGGCACACGGCCTCTTGGGGGGCTCACACGGGGCCCCCGTTGCTGTTTTATTTCTTTTTTTTTTGAAGATTTTATTTATTTTTAGAGAGGGAAGGGAAGTGGAGAGAGAGAGAAACATCAATGTGCGGTTGCTGGGGCCCATGGCCTGCAACCCAGGCATGTGCCCTGACTGGGAATCGAACCTGCGATGCCTGGTTCACAGCCCGAGCTCAATCCACAGAGCTACGCCCGCCAGGGCTCGCTGTTTTATTTCTAACGCGCCCTCTGCGTGTCCCCAACTGCTGGACAGAACCCCGGGGCTGTCCGGCTCCCGGCGGCGGTGTGACCGGTGTGAGCCCCGTGTCGGGGTGTCTGGGAGGGGCTGTCCCGCAGGCTCTGGCCAGGCTGCGACCCTCCAGGGCCACCGGTGCTCGGCCCCAGCCGGCGGGCCCAGGCCCGGACTGTGCGCACCAGAGGTCGCCGGCGTCACCGGGAGGGCCTCGAGCGCTCTGCTGGCCGGGCTGTGTCTTTCAGATCAACAAAGACCTGGACGGGAGCATCGCGTTCCTGGCGCAGACGGGCAGGTTCGCCGTCCCGCTGAAGTGCTCCACCAAGCAGTGCTCCGTACGCTCTGGGCCGGCCCAGCCGGGGCTTCCCGGGGGGGTCTGGTGGGCAGCGCGGCTGTGCGGCGTGTGTCCCGAGGGAGGGCGGGAGGGACCGCGTCTCCGCCCCCCGCCCCAGGCCCAGCGGCAGCTCCGGGCAGGCGGGGCTCTGTGGCCGCCAGCCGGGCCCTGTGACACGGGTGCGCACCGCCGTCCACGCTGGGAGACGGGACAGTCCCGCCGCCGCTGGGGCCCGCTGCAGGTCTCCCCCGGGCTCGCCCCTCCTCGTGTCCGTCAGCCCCGCTAGCCACACGGCAAGGTCTTCCGCCCCGTCCCGGGACCGAGAGGGCCCCCCTCCCCGCCCCCAGGTCGAGGGCTCGAGGCCGTGAGGCCGTGGACTGCTCCTCTGCGATGCTAACAACCTCCCCGGGTATCACTCCGCTGTGCCCAGGTGTCCCAGACCACCTTCATTGCTGGTGTTTTTGAGCCAGGGTACAGTCAAGACCGCACGGGGTGCTTCATTGTTCGTCGTTGGGTCCCTCTCTCTTCCTCTTCGGGCTCGTACCGTGGGGACACGCAGTAGCACAGCGCCGGGCAGCGCGGCGGTCTGCGAGCGCGCGGTGCGGCGCGACACACGCATGCGCAGTGCTGTGCGGGCGCCCACCCTCTGGCTCGGCCGGGTCCCTGCGCGGAGGGAGGCTCCGACCCCGGGGACACTCGCCCCCGCCCCGCCCCCGGCCCGCCGGCTTTCTGCCCCTGTGCGCCCCGCCCCTCTGAGGGCCTGGTGCAGGCGGCAGCGCTCATCCCCTGTGGGCCTGGCTTCCTGAGGTCGTGCGCCCGCGGTCCGGCCCGCCTGGGCGGACCGCGCAGGTTCCTTCCGCTCCAGGGCGGGTCGGCCTGCAGGCCGCCGGGCTGTGCCGTTGTTCCCTGTGCCCCGCAGCCTCATTTCCTGCACCCCTGCCCTTTGTGTTTGCTTGGGTCTGCTGGAGAAACGTTTCCGTTCGTTTCCTCGTTTCCTCTTAGGTGTCCTCCCTCTTACGTTCTGTGTGGCTGCCTCGGGGATTGCACGTAACACCCTAACGTGGTACCTCCCGTGGGCGGCCGCGGAGCCCCGCCCCACCCCTTTCTGTCCTCGGAGTCACAAGCCGCATCTTCATGTGTCTTGTGTCCAATGACAAACTAGTAGCTTGTCCTGTCCTCACCCCAGGACGTGCTTACTGACTTTGGGGGGGCGGGAGGGGAGGGAGAGACATCTGTGTGTTTGCCCCTCCCGCGCCCCCAACCGGGTGCCCAGCTGCAACCCAGGCCTGTGCGGTGACTGGGGATCGAACCGGCGACCTTTCGGTTCACAGGCCGCGGGGGCTCAGTGCACTGAGCCACACCAGCCAGGGCTGGTAGTTTTTTTTATTTTAAGGAAAGCAATTAGCCTAAAAGCTAGTGTTCCTGTAACTTTTGTTTGTAACTCCGTAATTTGCTTTCTATGTAAGTAATAGAAAAAACGCATTTTAAAAATCACTAGTTTGGCCCTGGCTGGTGCGGCCCAGTCGGTTGGGTGACGTGCTGTGCACCAGAGGGTCACGGGGGCGACCCCGCGGGAGCGCGCACGGGAGGCCCGTGAGTGGCGCGTTCCCTGCGTCGGCCCCGCCCCCACTTCCTGTCTCTGAAACCCAGGGAACGTTTTCCTGCGCGAGGACCGTGACGGGTCGGTGCCGGTCTCTGAAACCACGCCAGGAACAAATCACGGGGCGCACCCCGGCGTCGCGGAGCCCTGGCCTTGGGAGCTGCCCACGTCCGCAGCTCCTGGCGCCGTCCCGTCCCCACCGAGTCCCTTCCCGTCCCCTGTGGGCTCCCTGAACGTGTCTTGCAGGGGTGACGTCTGGGGTCCTGCAGGGAGCCCCCGCTTCTGCCCTCCTGGGCGTGTCCTCGGTGTCCCTCACGCCTTTCCAGGGCCGCGCTGCGCCCAGCTGCACCTCAGGTGCCCGGTGCTGAGAAGGAAGGAGGGGCGCGCCTGCGGGGGCCTCTGCGGCCCCGCCCCCCCCCCCCCCCCGCCCCGGCCGCGCAGTCGCGCCCCTCCCAGACCTGCACGTGCGCTTCCGTCCTCCCTCTCCCGTCCTCCCGCTCGCGGAGCGCGGCGGCCCACCCAGCACGGCCGCGGCGCGGCATCTCTGCCCCCACGTGGCTTCTCAGAGTTGGGTGGCCTGCAGCCAGGGGACGGTTGCCGGCCCACCGCGCCACCTGCGCGCACCCTCTCGCTCGGGATGCCCGCCCCTCGGCGCTGGCGGGCTGAGCTGAGCGGTCTGCGAGTGCGCCCGGCGGCCCTCGGGCTGTGCCCGTTGCGTCTGGGTCGCCCAGACTGTTGGCACGTGACTGTTCGCGGTTCTGTCTCGTGCGCCGTTTTCCTTCTGTGGGGTCAGGCGTGTCCCCACTTCCGTTTCCGAGTTTAAGTCAAGTCTTTGGCTCTTAGTCCGTCTTAGTCTCTTCATCCCGCTGGTCTTCCCTGTGGTTCCTCTGCTCTCTGCTTCGCCTGCCCCGCCCGGTCCGTGCCGTCCCCCCTCCCACCCCCCCCCCCACGGCTGTGAGTTCAGCTCGTTCCTCCTGCCTCGTGTCCGAGGGCCGCGGCCGGGCTGCTGGCCGGAGATCTTCCCTGCGTTTCAATGACCCCGGGTGCGCAGACGCTGCCTGTTCCCCCGCCCCCGGCACCGGGTGCATCCCCGCCCCCAGCAGGAGGCAGGCAGGGCTCCCAGTGCCCTCAGGGCTGCGGGATGGTGGCCGCCCCTCGGGGTCACCCGGCTCCCCCGGCGTGTGTTGGCAGCTGTCCCTGGACAAGGAGCTCATCGACTTCGGCAGCTACGTGGTGGGAGAGACTGCGTCCCGGGTCATCACACTGACCAACACTGGGGGCCTGGGCACCAGGTTCAAGTTCCTCCCGGCCTCCGAGCCCTGCGACATGGACAGCACCCCGTCGGTCATGAGGCTTGTGAGTGCCCCCTGGGCCGCGCCGGAGGGTGGGGGTGATGACACCCCGAGGTCCATCTGCTGGGGCCGGAGGGCAGAGCGTGGAGCGACCCGGGCAAAGGGCGTCAGTCTCTGTGAGGACGGCGCGGGGGTCGCCGGGCAGCCAGGGTAGTGGCAGCAGGGCACGTCCCCTCTGGAGCACGTGGTGACAGAGTGGTGGCCGCGGGCTCCAGGCCCACGAGCCCCGTGGGTCCAGCCTCACCAGGGGCGCCGCTGCAGCCCCAGCATGGGGCCAGGCCTCCCCTCCCCCAGAGGCTGCGCGGTGGGTGTGCTGCTCAGTGGGCACCCTGGACCGCACCGGGGACACCCTGGGGCACTGGGGGGAGAAACCGCCCTTTCAAAGCACGCCCGAGTTAGTCGACGCCTCCAGACAAGAAGCACTGAGCTCCTGCTTTGTGGCTCTGTCCGCTGTGTGCAGGGGTCTCAGCAAAGGCCCTGGAGGAGTTGCCCCCAGAAAGGACAGAGTGGGGACTTCGGGGCAGCGGTGGGGCTGGTCGCTGCAGCAGAGGTGGGAGGGGCCAGGAGGGATGGGGGGGAGGGGTCACTGGCCCTGTGTCCTCCTGGTGTCCTCCTGACTCTGCCAGGACAGCAGCTCCGCCCAACCAGCGCCCTGTCTGTCCCCCTGAGGCCTGTGAGTTGCACCTGGCCAGCACTGTCACTCTGTTGTCAGCACAGCACAGGGGTGGGGTGGCGGTGACCCCTGGGGGAGGAGCAGAGCAGGGAGCAGCCCCAGGCCTGCAGCCAGACCGAAGCTAGGGGAGCACCCGCGGGTGCCTGGGGGCACTGCCTGGTCCCCAGGAGAGAGGCCTGGCACCGCTGCGCTCAGGAGGAGAGCAGGGCCCACAGTGGGCCCCAGATGGTGTGGGCAGGGCAGGGCTCTCAGGGAATGGGCGGGGGTCGACAGGCAGAGCCAGCAGCCCCCAGCCCGGGTGGCCGTCCCGGTGACGGAGTGCAGGCAGGTGAGTGAGAAAGGCGGGAGGACGGTGACAGCAAAGGTGTCTGTTCTCTCTCCAGAGCAGCATCTTCACGTGCGCATACGAAGACAGAAGTTTCTACGACAAGGTCGCCTCCAGCATCTCGGAGCAGCTGCTGGAAGGCACGTCCTCCCAGTGGGACGTGCTCAGCCAGAGGGAGCAGACGCTCAGCCACAGGGAGCACGAGGAGGGGCGCCCCGCAGGTGAGCAGGGCGGGGTGGGGCGGGGCCCGGGGCGGGGCGAGGGCCCAGGGGAGGGGCGGGGCCCGGGGCGGGGCGGGGCCCAGGGGCGGGGCGAGGGCGGGCCGGGCGGAGCTCCCCCGGGGCTGGGACTTGAGTGGCTGTCACTCACGTTCGAGCTGAAAGAAGATGCGAAGCGAGTCCCCAACCTCAGACTTGGCCACAGGGCCTTTGTCCTCCTGGCCACCCTTGGCAGCCCTCAGTCGGACACCCCTGGAGCCCTGCCCCGCGCGCGCAGCAGCCTGGGCTGGAGAGAGGGAGGGGCAGCGTGGGGCGGGGCCCCGGGGGGGGGCACACGGCAGGTGAGGGCAGCACCAGGACCCTCCGCTGAGCCCAGGAAGCACGCGGGTCCCCGCAGGCCCGACGGCCCTCCTGCAGGGCGACGCTGCCGAAACCGGCCGTGTCCTCCCTGCCGCCCCCAGTCCGGTTGCCTCCGCCTAGCGCCCGGTCCACGCTGGCGCTCCTGCCTCAGCCGCGGAGGGGACGGGCCGGCCCTGCAGCGAGGGCGCCCCCTGTGGGCTCTGCTGCTCCCGGGGCCCCCAGTCTGTCCACGCTGAGGGGCCGGCCGCCCTCCCTGCTCCCCGCCCCCCGTGGCCGCTCCTTTTGGTCACGGGTGGCTCACTTGCACGCGCGGGCCACAACCTGGATGTGAGTGTGTGGGGGGCACTAGCCCGGTGTCCAGCTGCACCCCGGTGAGCGCTCCCTCGCCTCTGTGGCTGCTGTCGCGGTCGTCCCCACGCGTCCGTGTGTCCACGGCAACGGCAGCGGCCCAGGCCGTGCCACTCAACACGCGGCCGCTGGCCGCGCCTGCCTGCGGGCGCCTCCCTCCGTAGGAAACTGCTGTGGGAGTTCCTCGCGCTGCCCTGCGAGGGGGCTGCCTTCCTCGAGCTTGTCTGTGTGCGCGGCCGCCCCCACGCTTTTCTCTTTCCCGGTCCCAGTCTCGTCTCTCCAGTCCGTGTTCTCGCTTTTGGTGTAACGGCTCTCCCCATCGTCTCTTTCGGGGCTCGTGGTTTTTTCTGCCTTCATACACGTTTTTTTTCTGCCCTGGAGCCACGGTCAGGGCTCTGTGGTCAGCGGCGCTTCCTCCTGGAGCTCAGCGTGTGGTGGGAGGGCCCCGGCGCCCTCCCACGCGGGTGGCCAGCTGTCCCCGCCGCGTGGGGCCGACACTTTGCTCCCCGGTCCGACCGACTTGTCACCTTCGTGGCAGCCCGGCGCGGCCCGCGAGCCGGCGAACTGGGATCGCGGGCGCGCTTCCGGGCTCCCTGCTGCGACCAGTCGGCCCATCCTCCGGTCCTGCGCCAGCGCCGCGCCCTCCCGGTTGTCCTGGCGGCGGAGCACGTGGTCGCGGAGCCGTGCGGCGTCAGCCGGCCAGCTTCGTTCTTGTCGTATTTGCTTTAGGTGGTGTAGGCGCCTTGTGTTTCCACGTGAGTTTTAGAAGTCGTTTTCAAGATTTTTCATTGGTTTTTAAGAGAGCGGCGGAGGGAGGGAAAAGAGAGGGGGAGAAACATCTGCATGAGGGAGGTACCTCGATCAGTTGTCTCTCGAATGCACCCCGACTGGGGACTGAACCCACAGCCCAGGCTTGTGCCCTGACGGGGAATCGAACTGGCGACCTTTCAGTTTTCGGGACGACATCCAACCCACTGAGCCACGCCAGTCGGTGCTAGAAATAGCTCTGCATTTCTACAAAAAAAAAACACCCCACAACCAAACCCTGGTGTTGGATGTCGTCGCACTGAATCCACGGGGCGGTCTGGGGAGAGCTGGTGTCTCCACGGTGCTGCATTTGACCTGTGCGTGCAGCACACAGCCCGTGGGATGGGCCCCTCCTGCCTCCCCACGGAAAGGGCGGCGGGCCGCAGTGGTGGCTTCCGCCGGGTGTCCTGCCCGGTGCGCTGCAGCCGTGCTCAGGCATGCAGCCCCTGACTCGCGATGGGGGACCCCGACCGCTTTTCTCTTAGACCCTCAAACAGAAAAATGACAACAACCAACACAACAATAACCATCTGATGCAAACGAATCGAAATTGTGCCTATATTCTTGTCAGATCAAAGGCACATTTTTTGGCGTGCCGCAGAGTTTTGGTGATTACTTTGTGCGCCACAAGATGGAAAAGGCTGGACTTGCTGGTTCACGGGCCAGAGGCCTTGAGCATCCTCGGTTGGCTCGTGCACTCGGGCGGCCTCTCACTTCTCCCAGAGAGTGTCATCTCTTTACATGTATCCCAACTCTCAATACACTCTCAGTCCCAAAACCCCACAATTACCTTCCGGAGGCCGGGCCCCTTGTCGCCCAGGCTTTCCCCGCTAGGTGAGTGCACCTGTATCAGCGCACCAGCTGGCGTTGTTGTGAGAGGCTGCGTTTGGCTTGAGTGATTTTTTTTTTTAAGACTCTTTCAACACATTTGCCCCTTCGTGATGGGGGTTTACAAGTGCACCTTCCAGGGGGTGGGCTGGGATGGGAATAAAAGGCAGAAAACCATACTTGAACAACAATTAAAGTTAAAAATTACAGGAATCTGAATAAATAGTGCCTCACCTTTTTCTGTCCATTATTTTTTAAAAAACGTGTGCACCTGCCCACACTGTGCTCAGTGTCCAACAGTTTCTGCTCGAAGACCGCGTGACCCCCACGCCCCACCTGCCCTGTGCACCCCGTCTCTCCCAGAGAAGTTTTCCGTTTGTTCCCTGGGTGAAGAGTCCTCGGAAGGAAACGTTCGCTGATGTGCAAGAGGCAAAACAAAACCCAGCAGACGCGCTTTTTAAAAAGCATCCAAACCAGCCCTGGCTGGTGTGGCTCAGTGGACTGAGCACAGGCCTGAGAACGAAAGCATCGCCGGTTCGACTCCCAGTCAGGGCACCTCCCTGAGTTGCGGGCTGGGTCCCCAGCAGGGGGCGTGTGAGAGGCAACCGCACATGGACGTTCCTCTCCCTCCCTCTCTTCCCCTCTCTTTAAAAATATATAAATAAATTATTTTAGAAAAGCATCAAAATCAGCATGTCCAAAAACCGTTCTGAGGGGTGGAAAAGCCGTCTCGACAGGCGTATTCCATCGATGGAGAGGGGGCTTTGCCTGAGACTAAAGGTGAAACGTGTGAGGATAAACACACCTTTATACAAATAAATTCTGCTTGGGGGGGGGTCCCCACTGGTGTGTGCGCCGCCCCTCACTCCGTGCTGTGCGTGGGGTTTGTCCTTTTCGTTTAACCCCACTTTCTGGCACGTGCGCCTCTCCGCTGCTTTTCCCACGAACGAGTCCCCTGGCCTTCAGAGCGGCTCCGCAGCAGGGAGCCCGGCCTCCCCGAGCCCCGGCGGCGGCCGTGCCCTCCCAGGAGGCCCCCGCCCACGCAGACGAGCCGGACCTGCGGTGGGAGAGCGACCCAGGGGGAGGCGGGGCCTGCGCACCCCTGGAACGACCTCCTGGAGGAAGCAGACCAAGCGGATTGGACGATCAACCGAACGAAACTTCCAGAAGCAACAATGTGACCCGTGAAACTGGAGCCTGGCAGTGGGCGAACCGCAGACCGGACGTCGCCGAAGGGAGACTCGGCCCCGGGACACTCCCGGCGCAGGCGCAGGGCAGCAGGAAAGCAGGGCGCGGGCCCTGGCGGACGGAGCGCGGCGGGCCCGGCCGCAGGGGTCGTCAAGCGGAGGTGGCGCGCAGACACAGTCCCCGGGAGCGGCCCAGGCGGTCGAGGCTAAACTCGCGCTCAGGAAGCGACGCACCGCCCCGACTGACAGCGGGGTCGGCCCCGGAGCAGACGCGCTGGGCACGTCATTACAGAAAACTCCAGCGTTAACGGGCCGACCCCGGGGCGTGTGAGAGCCCGCCCTGCCCTCAGCAAACGGGCCAGCGCGGCCAGGCCCTGGGGCACGGAGGGACCCCAGCCTCCGCCCCCCGCAAGCCGCTGGCCCCCAGCGCAGGTCCGACCTGCCGCGGCCGTCCCCCCTGAAGCAGACCGGGACTCGTCCCGCCCCTGCCCCTGCCCAGGTGGCGGTTGCGAGCTCCGGGCAGGGTGACACGTCCACCGAGTTTCGGGGCCTCTGCCTTCACGGCGCAGCCCCAGAAGTGGGGCGCAGCCCCGGGGGGTGCCCGCGGTGACGCAGCAGGGCAGCGAAGGACTTGGAGAAGATGCTGACCTTGGCCCTGCCCATCAAGTTCTGTCTGTCCACGTGCAGAATCGACAGAAACCCGTCTCAGAAGAGGCGAAACGGCGTCTGTCCTCAGGAGCCTTCCTGATAGATACATGGCGTGCTGGTCCCTGGGGTGCCCACCGCACCCCGAGGGGCAGGTCAGAGTGCGCAGCCCACCCACAGGGACGGGATGATGGGAGCGGGCCGGCTGCAAGCGCGCAGACCAAGCAGTTCCTGTGAAAAACTAGGTTGTGGAATTTGAGAATAAAAGTCCTTGAAAGATGATCTAGTCTAAAATTCTTCGAGACCTGGCAGTGCCCGCACTCCACCAGGTCACCAGAAGATGGCAGCATTGGGAGGGGCTCCCCCAGGAGGTGGGGAGCCGCCACCCTGCCCCTGGCCCCGTGCCCCTGCCGCCCGTCTTCTCCCCGCCCCCACCAGCCCTCTCGGCCTGGCGTGTGGCCGTCTCCTCGTCTCCTCGGTTTAGCACAAGCACAAACCCCCTGTGAGCCCCCGCCCCCCCCACCGTGCCCTCTCCTTCTGCTCCAAAGGGAACTGCAAAGGCTGCCTGGGGCGTGCGCTCTGCCCTCAGCCTGCCGCACCCACCCACCCACCCCTCCAGGGCTCTGGGCAGGTCCTCCCCTGCTGCTGCCTGCTCCCACTCGTGGGCCCCCACCACGCCCAGAGCAGCAGGGAGTCTAAGGGAAGGGGGGCGCTCCCACCCCGACACCCCAGCTCCCCGGGGGGCTCCGAAGCTTTAGGAGGGGTTTGACCGTAGCTCCGGCGGATCTGGACATAGCTGTCCCCTCCCTGCCAGTCCTCACAGCTGACGTGCCTTCTCTTCCAGAGCTGGAGGGGGCGGGCACCATGATATTCTCCAACGAGGAGCAGACGGAGATCTCACTGGGGGAGGTCAGTGCGGCCTGCCCGCCCCCAGCCACGCCCTGCTGGTCTGCTGACTGCTGACTCCTTCCCCGGGTGGCCCTTCGTGGGACTGGAGCCGGACCAGGCCTGTCTGGCTGCTGGACTCCAGGCCGCTGGGCAGCCGCTGTCGGAGCCCGCGCCGGGCCTCCCCGTCCCGTTGGGGATCTGGCGGGACTGGAGCGGCCGGGCCCGGTTTCTGGGTGCAGGGCCAGCCGAGCCGTAGTGGTCCGTGTTCATGCATGTGTATGCGTGTGCCAGGGCCGGGGGGGGCCCTGCTGGAGGGGGGTGTTCAGCCTGCCCCTCTCCTGCTCCCCCCCGCCAGGGTCCGGGGCAGTGTGTCTCTGCAGAGCCCGGCCAGGCCGGGACCAGAGTCTCTGTGGCCGAGAGGACGCCACGAGGACTTGGGTCCTGCCACCACTCCCCCTCCCAGGGGCATGGCCCGTGGCAAAGACAGTGGGAGGTGCCGTCATGGACCTGAGGGGCCCTGTGACATGTGTCTTCCCATGCAGGTAACCGAGGGCGAGATCGCCCCCTTCTCCTCCATCAAAGTGCCCATCACCTTCTCCCCAGTCACCCCAGGGGACATCCAGGCCAACTTCAAGGTCACGTTCAAGAATCGGCAGTGCCCGACTGTAAGTGTCCTGCAACCGTCTGTGCGCTTCATCCCGCACAGCACAGCCCTTCCCGGGAGCAGGGCCCCGCCCCACGCGGCCGCGGGAGGCGCCGCCCCTGCCCGCCGCACCTGGGTGGCTGGTGGGCGGCTCGGACGGCCGGCCCCTGTAGCGAACAGTGACGCACGCCCACACTCGCGCCCCTGTGCATGGGTGCACACCCATGCCTGTGTCGGCACACCCGCGTACACGCAGGTCCCTGCACACAAAGCCCACACGCCTGTGCGTGCACACTCAGCCTTCGATCGATCCGGGTCACTAGGAATGTCTTTTTAAATTCCCGAGCAGCCAAACCTGCTCTTCGTTGCTCGTTGCCGTTCGCTTCCCGTGAACGTGTGAAACTACGTTCAGACGACTTCTGCAAACTCTTCTTCCTTCAAGTTTTCTTGGCGGCCGAAGGCGAGGTCGCGTGTGTGGCTCACGCGCGCACGTGGAGACGCTGCACTCGCCCGCGGGCCGTGGTGGTGCTCACAGCGGGCGGCGGCGCGCTGCGGGGTTGCGCGGGGCCGGAGGTTGGCGTCGCCGGGACCCCCAAGCAGCCTAAGGCAGCCACGCCCCTCCCCTGCGGGTCTTTGCTCCGCCCCCTGCCCCTCCCCCCGTTTCCAGGGCAGCCGCCCGCTAGGCCGCGCCCCGCCCTCTGCCTCCGGCGGTTGCTGACCTCATGGGGGCGCTCTCTCCTCTCCGCCGGGTTCCTCCTCCCGGCGGCGGGTCCGGTTGCTGTCCAGTGCATTCTCTCTCAGTGGTTGGAACTTTCTCTGTTCCGTGGGCAGTCCTCTCCCTCCCCCAGCCCGCGAGCCCCTCGGAGCTCTCTGTTTCGCGAGAGTAAAGAGGAAACCCCCGAGACGGGCTGTGTCCCCAGTGGGGCTTCCCCGGCGCGTCCTAGGACCGCAGTAAAGTGCACCCCGGGTCCCTCTTGCTCGCCCCCGTCCTCCGCAGTTCCCTCGCCTGTCCTCCGAGTCTCGGGTCTGTCTGTAGCCTGGCGTGTCATGTGTCACCTTGTCACCTGCTCGCCTGGCTGCTGACCTGGGTCCCTAATGGTCCCCTGAGAGTGTGGGGAGGACACTGGCCCCGGCCTGCCAGGCCCCCAGCGGCGACCACTGACCACACAGCCCGACCCGGGGCTGACGCGGACCCCTGACGCCTGCAGCTCCCCTGCAGGGGCGTGGTTCCTGTTCGCTCCCACCAACCGCCTCCTCCCGCCCCGGCAACAGGCCGTGTGCCTCGGCAACCCTGAGGCCTGGATCTGGCGGCTGGCACGTGCCCAGTGTCACAAGGCCTGCAGGCTGTACAGAGGGACAGTCCCTGGTTTGTGCCCCCAGACGGCCCTGTGGGCTGGTGTCCGGAAGGAGCAGTTGCCCCCCCCCACCCAGCCTGAGGGGCGGCCACGTGCCAGGCTGGCCCGCAGGACGCCCACCAGCCCCGACTCCCGAGACCCAGGCCTCAGGGGCCGGGAGAGAGACGCTCCCCGCATCCCCGGGTGCCCTCGAGGCTTCGAGCTCCCGCCCCAGTTTAGTTGCGAAGGGTCTGTGACGGGTCCGCCGGCCCGGGGAACGCTGACTCCGCGGTGAGAGCGTTTCTCAGACGGCTGACGCGTCACTCGGTGCGGAGCTGTGCGGTGGGCCCGAGACGGCCACACGACCCTGCTCTTTCCGTGTTTGAAGGTGTGTCTAGCGAGAAGGGCTCCCTTAATCAAACAAGCACTGTGGGCAGCGCCGTGGCACGGCTCCGGACCGGCTCGCTTAACCACCAACGCCAGCCGGCAAGACTCACAAAGCCTGTCCGCCGAGGTCTGTGTTGGCACGCGACGCCGACGGACACGCATGTCGCTGAGCTCACACGTTTGGCTTCAGCTGTATTTCCGGGCCGTGGGCGTGGCCGTGGCCGTGCCGGTCTGGGTGTCGAGGCCGGGCGTGGACTTGAAGATCTGCATGTACGACCGGCTGTACCAGGACTCCATCGTCGTCCACACTCGGTGAGCGCCGCCCTCGCGTCCGCTCGCCCGTCTCTGGGCCGCGGCGGACGTGGCGCCGTGGCTGGGCGGAGGCCCTCCCCCGGCCGGTCAGGCAGGGAGCACCCCGGGAACCTCCGGAAGGCGCTGGCCCACAGCCCGGGGTCCCCAGGTGGACCGGGAAACAGCCCCCCTTCCCCTGGGCAGCCGCTGCCGCTGCCTTCCTGTGATCACTCCGAGATCACCCCACCTGTGGCGTGAACAGAGACCCAGCCCTGTGGCGAGGGTCGGACTCGCCACTTGACCCAGTGGAGGCTCGAGGTGTCAGGGGTGGAGCCCCCGACGGGAGCGTGGCATCGTGGGGCACGGCACTCACGTGGCGATGAGGGCACCCTTGGCTCCTCTGGCCGGCCCTGAGCCAGGAGCAGGGACAGAATTTACAGGGGCTGTGGTCACGGACCAAGGCCAGGCCACCCGGGGGCCACCAGAGTGCCCTGCAGAGCTTGTGCTGTGGGGAGGCGTGTGGGACCCAGCCTGTCCCAAGACGGTGCCCGGGAAGGGGGAGAGCAGGAGCCGGTCGGGCGAGGGTCCCCGCCGAACCCCCATCCCCAGGGCCTGCCCAGCATGGGGTCTTCCCAGAAAATGCTCAGGGTTCCGAGAGCCGACGGGGCGCGTTCCAGCTGTGCCGCTTTCGTCTGTGAGAATCCTCGTGAGACTGCGTTGCCGGAGAGCCAGCCCCTGAGGAGCTGGGCTTGGGAGACCCTCATTCTTACCGTTGAGGCCCAGCGTGGCAGGGGCACGCGGGCACCGCGGGTGGCGGGGTGGCGAGAGGCAACCAACTAAGCGCCCCCGTGTCCCTCGCGCTGCAGGTCGAAGGTGGCCCTCCGTCTCAGGTTCGAGGTGTGCAAGGAGCTCCAGGGCCACATGGAGCTCCTGCCACAGACGGGCTACATCCAGGCACTGTCGTCCTGCTCCGTACAGCTGAAGTTCCTGCCCAGGTGGGTGCGGGGGTGGGCGGGAGGGGGCCTCGCTTCTCCTCAGGGGCACCCAGGCGGAGAGAGCAGGACGCCGGTGCCAGGAGTGGGTCTCGGCTTTTGTGTGGGTTCATTCATGGACTTGAGAGAGAAAGAGGAAGGTGGTGGTGGGGAGAAAAATGTCAGTTTGTCGTTCCACTTACTGGTGCATTCACTGGCCGATTCTTGTACGTGCCCTGACCGGGGACTGAACCTGCAACCTTGCAGTAGTGGGACAAGGCTCTGGCCAACTGAGCCACCGGCCAGGACCAATTGCGTGTTTTAAAGGCACCACCCAGGTCAGTTTCACGGCCGTGGTGCACAGTGTAAATGGGAAAACTACATGTGAGTGCATGCGATCTCTCCTAGACACTCCCTCCCCACCGACGCAGGCCAGTACTTCGACAAAGAAAGCAGAGTTCTGGAGGCCCCGATGACAATACGGGTGGCTGACCAGGTCTGTGGGGGCCTCCTGGGAATGCTGGTGCTCTTGGGGAACCGGGGGTGCCCTGGGCGCCAGGCACTGGGCTCTGCACCCCAGCAAGGCCCCTGGTTGGATTCCAGTGGCCGGGCCTGCAAATCGGCCGCCTGCCCCAGCAGCCCCCGCCCAGTCGAGACCAGGGGGTGGGGTGGTTCTGGGTCAGAGAGGGCCTGAGCGCTGGCCGGGCCCACGGGGCTGTCCCCAGCACCCGGACTCCGCACCCCTCGCTCCCACGCACACCTGCTCACGTGCGCACACGCACGTCCTCCCGCACACTCGGCCCACGATGCCCGCGTCGTGCGGTCCCAGCACACACGTGCTCACTCGCCCGCGCCGCCCCTTCGCCTCCTCCTTGGGACAGTCGCTCCCACGTCCTCCCAGGTCCGGGGGTGGCTGGAGGGTGGGTTCCTCCCGAGACCGTGTCCGTGGAAAGGTGTGTCCGGGGCCACAGCGACGCCTGTGCCTCTCTCACTTCCGGACACACTTGCAAAAACTGCGTGTGGCGGAAACGTGCGCGCCCTCTGCACTGCAGATCAAGCCGGTAGAGTTCACCGTCCACGCCATAGTCACCACCTCGGACCTGGAGCTGAGCCCCTCGGAGGTGGACTTCGGCCACTGCACCATCTACGAGGCCATCAGGACCTCGGTCAGCCTCTACAACCGCTCCCTCCTGCCCCAGGAGTTTGGGTTCGTCGGGCTCCCTAAGGTGCCTCGCGTCGGCAGGGCGAGGGGGCGGGCACAGGGGGCTGGGTAGGGAGCTCTGGTCCAGGCGGCTGCTGACCCTCCCGCACTGCCTGTGTCCCCCTGCGGACATCTCTGCCTGGCTCCCTCCCTCCCTCCGCTTGTCCCTCTCTTCCTCCCTGCTGCACCCCCCACCCCCCGTCGCTGCCTCAGCCCGCCTCCCTCTGCTCCCTCCCCCCTCCCCTCCTCTCCCGCCTGCTGCTCCCACCTGCCCGGCCACCCCACCTCAGTCCCCGCCATCCACTGTCAGTGCACACGTGTGCTCACACGCACATGCACTCACGTGCTGACACCTGCATGTGTGTGCTCATGCAGGCACACACTCACATGTAGACACAGGTGCGCATGCTCAAGTACGCACATGCACTCACCTGCAGGCACAGACACACAGTAACACACACGGGCTTATGGGCATCCAACATGCTCACACACCGAACACACCTGCCCACACGCCACATGCAGCCACAGCCCAGCCACGCGTGTGTGTTTGCCTGGCCCCCACAACGCCCCCAGCCATTTGCCGGGCCTCACCCCGGCGCCGCCGGCTTCCCGTGTGCAGTGTGTGGACATCCAGCCCAACGACGGCTTCGGCACCATCCTGCCGCTGGAGACGCTGGAGCTGGACGTGATCTTCCAGCCCACCAAGGCCAAGGAGTACAGCTTTGAGCTCGTCTGCAAGTCGGAGATCAACCGGTGAGCCTGGGACCGGGTGCGGGGCGGCGGCCAGGGGCCTGCAGGCTCCTCAGACCCGGCGCAGACGCCTGGGACCCGCGGGCCTTGCAGGCAGGGCCACTCAGCCCTGTGGGGGGGAGCAAGTGCGGGTGTGCACGTGTGAGCACTGTGTGTGCATGCATGTTAGCATGCACGTGTGGGTGGGTGTGCGTTCACTTGTATATGTATGTGTGGGCATGTCTGTTTTGGTGTACGTGTGTATGAGTGTGTGGTGTGTATATGTGTGTGTGGGCACGTGTGAGTTAACATGAGTGTCCATGCATGGACACAAGTTCATGTGGGTGCACACAAGTGGTTCGGTGTGAGTTGGGATGTTTGTGTGTGGACGTGTTTGAGCGTGCACGCGTATGGTGTGTGCATGCATGTGAGTGTGCAGTTGTGGACATGCGTGAGTTCATGCCAGTGTGTGCCGGAGCCCAGCTCCAGCAGAGCCAGGGATGCCCAGTGGAGGGGCGGCGTCGGCGGAGGAATGACACGAGAGGTGCAGTTTCAAGCTCAGCAGCCAGGCCTCTCTGCTGGGCTCTTGAGTTCTTTATTTTCACACAGTTGGGTGTGTACATGTGGCATATGTGAAAGCAATAAAAAAATGAGGTTTGTAAGGCATATTTGCTTTGCCCTTATTCTGCAGAAAATAGGAAGCAGCTCTCTATTGCATATTATTGTGCAAGCTTTAGCTCCTAATCTTTGCAATTAATCAGTAACACATTTTACCACATTATATAACACCTTAATTTCTTAAAGCTTAACTTAAGTTTGATCTATATATTCTAAAGCTGCAAGCTGGGCACGTAGCTGGTCACAGGGCTGTCTCAGCTCACTGGCCAAGGCCATGAGGGAGGCTTTCGTGGTCAGTGTGGTCAGTGCCTGCCCCTCACTTCTCACTTCAGCACCAGAGCCCTGCCATCCTGTGCCAGTGACAATCTTTGTGTTGCTCAGTCCATTCGGCTGCCTGCCATCCACCTTGGAGTTGATGCATTTTATTATTTGTTTCCATCTTTGATGTCTGACTTTTTAGGCAACAAACACCATGGGGGCCCTGATCACTTAAGCATTTCATAGAAGGGGAGTGTATAATCATCTTTCCAATACCCATTCATAGTTGCCCATCGTGTCCCTTTATGACAGATTCCGATACAGGGTGAAGGGGGGTCAGCGGGCCTAGGAGTCAGAGGGGGAACAGCCCATGGATACTGGTGCTGTGCTGACCAAAGGTGTTTTTTGAATCTATGTCTAGCTCCCGGGGCCTGGTTTCAAGGAATTGTGTGATAAGGGTGGGTGTAGGGGCTTTTGTAGGGAGTAATCCTAGGAGTCTTTTCCATTCCCACTCTTTGAACCCTCTAACCCACTTAGGAGGACACTGGTGGGAAGTCAATCTCCAATGAGCTGTCAGGGTTTTTTGCTTATTTCCGAAGAACTGTATTTCTTCTGTGGAACTGCCATCTGTCCCGGTCCCGTGGTAGACCACATGGACCCTCGGCACGGGCAGTGATACAGTGACGAAGCAGAGGAGTGCCCGGCACTTCCCCCCGCCGTGTCGCTGTGCGGACGTGCGGCTCCCTGCGTGACTGTGTCAGACAGCAGGGCTGTGCTGGCTCTTGGCAAGTGTGCCCATGTGGACATGTGGGAGTTCACGGGTGTACACGTGTGGGTGTTTGTGAGGGCTTGTTTGGGCGTGCATGTGTGTGGGTGTGTGGGTGTGTGCATGTGAGTGCACACGTGGGCCTTGTGGGTTCATGTGAGCACGTGTGTGGTCACATGCAGGCATGTATGTGCATGTGTGTGGTGTGCGTGCACATGTGTGGGCAGGAGTGAGCATGCATGTAGTGTGCGGCGTGTGCTCTGCGCTCGGGAGGACCGGGGCACGGGCCCTGCTGCTCGAAGGCGATGTGGGACGGGGCCTCTCCGGGAGCCTCCCGGCGCCCACTCCCACGGGGGGGGAGGGGGTTGCGCAGCACACGCAGGGCAGCCTGTGCTCAGGGGCCAGCTCGGGGGCTGCCTGGGACCGCCGGCCCAGCGAGGTCTGTCCAGGAGCGCCCTGCCCAGGCCCCTCTCCCTGTCCTCTCGTCCAGCCCCCTCCAGGCCCACCCAAGCCTGAGCTGCTGTGGGGTCCCAGCTGGGGGCGGGCGGGCCCCTCCTCCCACAGCCCAGGCCCTGCCCCTCCAAGCATGTGGGCCAGCTTCCTTCTTGGCCAATTTTCACACAGAGTGGGAGGCACCATAGTTGAAAAGACCCTTAGGACTGTGACAGGGGCCACGCCCCTCGCTTCTCAGGCCATTAACAGTTTGCCTGCAGCCTTGAGACTGTTAGCTCCCCACTGCCTTGTGGGTGAGACCCTGGCCACGTGGCTCGGTTGGCGGGAGCATCGTCCCGTGCACCTGAAAGTCGTGGGCGCAGTTCCTGGCCAGGGCATGTACCTAGGTTGTGTGTTGAGTCCCCAGCTCAGGGTGCAAGAGGAGGTAACTGACGGATGTTTATCTCTCCCTCCCTCTATCTCCCTTCCCCCCACCCTCAAATCAATAAATGTATCCTCAGGTGAGGATTTTTTTAATCAATTAAAAAAAAAAACAGCCCTGGCTGGTATAGCTCAGTGGATTGAGCATGGGCTGCAAACCAGAGGGTCACAGGTTTGATTCCCAGTCCTGGCACATGCCTGGGTTGTGGGCCAGGTCCCCAGTAGGGGGCGTGTGAGAGGCCACCACACACTGAGGTTTCTCTTCCTCTCTTTCTCCCTCTCCTCTCTCTAAAAATAAATAAAATCTTTAAAAAAAACCAGATTCCATAAATAAAACAATATTACTGAACGCTCTTTAAAAAAATAAAACGAAACAGCGTGTCTGGGACGGGGAGGGCAGCCTGAGTGTCCTCCCCCAGCGCCTGAGGGTCCGTTTCTTCCCATGTAAAACCCCACAACTTGGTGAAAATGCGTTTCGGTGTGGATTGCTCTGCGTGGATTTTCCGAGGCGCACAGTGCGTTTCATTTTTTTTTTTTACTTCCGGAACGTTCCCTGGGGCTTTTGCCTTTGATGTCCCCCACTCCCCCGCCGCCACGGGGCTGCGCCTCTTCGCTCTCACCGCTCCTCGCTTTTCCAGTGTCCCCGCCCCCCTCCCCAGTCGCCTGCTGCGCCCCTGGTCCCGGGTCCCTCCTAGCCGAGTGCTCCTGAGTCACTGGAGCTGGTCGCGCTGCCGGCCCGGCTCGAACGCCCCTTCCGAGCGGCCGTGGTCCTGCCGCGCCGGCCTCTCCGGCTGCTGCGGTCGCGAGTGCTCTCCTCGCGCTCCGTGGGTTACCGCGTCACAGCGTCCCTTCTTCGCGCAGCCGCCCCCGCGGGTGGCGTTATCCGAACGTCGTTGACCTGCTCCATTCTCTTTTGTCCAAAAACGCTCCTAGTGGCCGTTTGGCCTTGATCTCGCTCCTCGGCTCTCCTCCTGGGCGGCCAGTTTTGAACTTGGGCCGGGGCCCAGCTTGCAGCCCTTCCCTCGCCTGGTGGCTCTAGGGCGCCCTCTGCAGGGCGTGCGCGCGAAGTGCTGGGAAGCGCGGTCTCGCGGGGCTGGGCTCCGCTTCCGGCCCCCCTCCCAGCCGTCCGGGCCCCAGGGGGGGTTTCCAGAGTGGAGGACTTCGGGGCCAACCCCGGGGCCACACCCCCTCGCTGGTGTCCCGCCCCACGTGCTGGTCTCCACTGTGTGTGTATGTCCCCCCCACTCGGTGTTTCTGTGATCAGCCCACGTTGGCACAGGCGCGGGCTCAGTCTGGATGAGTGTGAGGACTTGAGCCTCACGGAGAGCAGCGCTTAGTGGGACCTTCCCAGCTCCCACTGCAGACAAAGAGGAGAGTTTGAAAATCAGTCATCTAAGCCCTGGCTGGTGTAGCTCAGTGGATTGAGCGCGGGCTGGGAACCAAAGTGTCACAGGTTCGAGTCCCAGCCAGGGTACCTTCCTGGGTTGCAGGCCACGGCCCCCAGCAACCGCACATTGATGTTTCTCTCCCTCTCCCTCTCTCTCTCTCTCTCTCTCCCCCTCCCTCCCTCCCTTCCCTGTCTAAAAATAAATAAATAAAATCTTAAAAAAAATACTCAAAGGCAGATGGACACACTTAAAAAAAGAAGAAGAAGAAAAGAAAATCAGTCATCTAGATTCTCTTTCAGAAAACGAGGCCCCGACCCGTGTGGCTCCGTCGGTTGGGCACCCTTCCGCAAAGCGAGGAGTCGCTGGGTGTTGACCGTGGGTTCAGTCCCCAGGTGGGCACATGTGGGTGTGGGCGGCGGCCTGTGGGCGTGCCTCTCGCTCACCCCACCACCACCAGGGGCCGGGCCGCAGCCCGGGTGCGCACCCTGGCCAGGAAGCGAACCCGCATCCTTTCCACCTGTGGGACACGCCCAACCCACCGGGCCCTGCCAGGCAGGGCCCTCCCCCGCTCTCTAGAAATAAATGTTATAAGCAAAATCTTCTCAAAAACAACTAGGAAAAGAGCATAGCGAATTAAACCCAAAGAAATTAGAAGAAGGAGAGGGAATTCCAGGGGAATTTCAGGGGAAAGGGGGAAGGGTTCACAGAAACGAGTATAAGGACACATGGGTAAAAACTAGGGGCGGGTGGAAATGGGAGGGAGGAGGGGAGGGCTGGGTGGGTGGGTTGGGGTGGGAGTAAAAGACAGAAAATTGTGCTGCAACAGCAATTTAAATAAAATTTTAAAAAAAGAAAATAAATAAATGAGAAGGAAAGACCTAATAACGAGTGGAAACCAGTGAAACAAAAACCAAACATTCTACAGAAAAACAACAAAACTAGAAGTCTTTCTCCGTAAAAATGAGTAAATTCGTCGTTCCCAAGAGACCCATCCCGATGATGAAGAAGGAGAAAGAGGAAGGGGCCGCCCCCCAGCCACCGCGACGTGACCTGGGCTCGCACAACGCGGGAGAAGCAGAGACACGGAGCAGGGCGTGGGCCCGAACACCCAGAAGCACCCGCTTTGTGAGATCTGTAAGGGGAACTGGCGGGAAGGGAGCGAATCGTTCCAGTGGGGTGGCGGACCCCGGAGCCGGGCGGTGCCAGCAAGGGGCGGGGCTCCTGCGGGAGCCCCCGCGACACCCGGGGAAAACCCACGCCCCCTCAGCCGCCGGACGCAGCGGCGTCACAGCAATCGGTCAGGAACTGACCTGGAAACTAGTCGGCAATTACTCCAAGGGAAACCCAGGTCCCACCCTCTCCCCGTCCCATTGAAGCAGTACATGTTGATTTAAGCTTCATTCTCCACAGCAGGGGATTTCCTAGCGACGTCTCGTAGACCCCAACTACTGGAAAGGAAGCTCCCATTCCAAGGCAGTTTATCTTAAGACACTGTAAACGATACTGATTTTGTCCGTTTGAAATATGTGAATTGTGCTATAACAACAAAAAAAAAAAAGATGAAGAGAGGAGTCACACGTCATCAGTGCCAGGGGGCGGGGGGGAGCGTCGCTCCGGACCCACAGGCACGGGAGGCCAGGGTGTGTGGTGAACAGCTTCGCACCCGTCGGCGTGACAGCCTGGACGACCCGTCGGCGTGACAGCCTGGACGAAACCGACACGTTTCCCGACGGACACGCCCCACCAGAAGAGAAAACAGACGGAAGGTCCGAGTGGCTGAACGACTACCGGGGAAATCAAACCCAAGGTTTCAGAGGTCTCGGCGGCGAACAGTGCAGGTGGCGGACACACACCTTCCAAAGGACAGAAAGACGGAAGAGCTGGCGGCCCTCAGCAGGGCGCGGCACAGGGGGAGGGGCACAGGGGGTCGGAAGTGGGGCTTGGGGCCAACCAGGCCTGTTTCCGAGCTGAGCCCGTGGGTCCTCGAGGCCTCGGGGCCACAGCCGTCAGCCGCCAGCCGCCCAGGGGAGCAGGAGGACGAGGCCGCAGGTGCGCTGCCCAAGGAGCACAGACACGCCGGCTGTGCCCCTGAGGTCGAGTGGAGAACATCACCGCACTGAACGAGTGAGTCCTACCCCTGTGGTTTAGGTGGGGGTAGGGGGGAAGAGGCGGTTTGAGCACGCGCTGCAGTAGAAACATTTCGTCAGCAGACGTGGCGCTGCCAGCGTGTACTGGGTGGCAGCTGCCGGTCGGCCCCGCGCCACTCCCGCTGCCCCTAGACCGCAGGGGGGCAGCTGGTCTCCGTGACGCGGCCCCCGGCCACTGGGGCCTCCCAGCAGCAAAACGGCGGAGGACCTGCGTGCCGTGCCAGCGGTGGACTCTCCAAAACACGGAGGAGGGCGTGTGCACACGAGCGTGTGGCGTACAAGGAAGAGTTCACGGGGCTGAGCGGCGCTGGGCAGCACCCCAGGGACGGAGCCCTGGCCGGAGGCCCTGCGTGGGTCACAGGCACCCAGACCGCCTGCGGAGGAGCCACGGCGCCAGCCGCCTTCCTGGAGGTGGTGGCTCGCTCAGCCTGGCCACTGCTGCACCTCGTCTCTGCTGTCCAGTTAGCGAGGAGACCCCGACGTCACTGCAGCCTGCGGTCCCGGGGCAGGACCTACAAACAGACGGGCGCTGAGAGCCCTGGCCGGGCGGCTCAGTCGGCCGGAGCATCGTCCGCCCGCCGCAGGGCTGTGGGCTCGGTCCCTGGTCGGGGCGCCGACCTGCCTGGCACGTTCGGCCCCCCATGGGGGCGCGCACAGGAGGCCCCTGATCCGTGGCTCCCACATCGATGTTTCTCTCCCTCAGTCAACACACGCAGCCCGCAGTGAGGGTTTTTTTAAACCTACTTTGAAACGTTTCAACACGCGAACACATTTGGGCTCCAGACGAGTGTGACAGGGCAGGGGGCGCCCTCCCGGGAAGCGCTGGACACCACGTGTGATGGGAGGCAGCCCCGCGGGGGGGGGACATGGGGAGGGAGCTCACAGGAGAGGCGGAGGGCGGTGCCCAGCGGCGCCAGCGCCAAGCCCCCAGCCCCCGTCCCTCTTTGTGACGGGCGGGGGTGCGCGTCCACACACCCCCGTGCTCGACCTTCAGGGCGACCCGTGTTCTGTCCTCCCAGCCTCACCCGGGCAGGCGTGGGTTTCTGGTGTCCGCGCACTTGCTTGCTCCCTGGCTTTAGGGACCACAGCCGCGGTCCTCCTCCCGGGGCCCCCACGCGCGAGGGCCGGGGCTGCCTCCCCCCCCTCAGAGGCCACCCCCTGCTGAACCTGCCCACGCTGGTCACTCCCAGGCGCTTCAAGCTGACGTGCCGGGCCGTGGGGGTCCACCCGCCCCTGGAGCTGTCGCACTACCAGGTCAAGTTCGCGGCCACTGCCTTGTACGACACGTCCGTGGCCACGCTGTACGTCGTCAACCCGCACCTGAGCATGAACGCGCTGACGCACAGCGTGCCCCGCATCGGTTCCGGGGACACCTGCCCCGTGGGGCCCACGTCCTTCGAGTTCCTGCTGCCCCCGGGCTCACCCATCACCATCTCGCCCTCGGTGGGGACCGTGTCGCCAGGAAAGGTGGGTGCGGGCCCCCGGGGCGCTGGCGCCCCAGCGGACGTGGGGTCAGCTCTGCCTCTCCTGAGAGCCGGCAGGCCAGGGGCCTCTGAGGCCAAGGAAGAGACCCGGCACCCCCACCCATCAGGCAGGGGCGCCCACACTGTCCGTGCAAGCACCTGGCCGGCACGGGCGGCTGAGCCCTCGGGAGCTGGGCAGTCCTTGGACCTCAGAGCAGGCGGACGCAGAGACCTGGCCGCCAGGAGCGCTGGGTGTCTGTCTGCTGGCTGTATCCAGGGCTCCCCACACCCCGCACTCTGCTTTTCCCACAAAGCAGGGAGAGCCTGTCCCCCGGGCCCTGGTGGGGGCAAGGGGCAGCAGCGCTGGGGCCTGCCGAGAGGACATTATGAGGGGCACACAGAGCTGGCGGGGGTGGGGGGTGGGGACAGTGGCCCCACCGGGTCTGACAGGTCGTTTAAAGTGCATCTCGTTAAATGGAGCAAGCACCACCTAGGATGTCTCCAGAGCGGCCGTGGCAGCCTCACCTCTGTGTCCCCTCCCCTCCCCCCCGCCCACCCTGTCTCTGTCTCCCCTTCAGCCCCCCGCCCCCTCCCCTCTCCTCGCCACTCCCTCTCACGGGCCCCCACGCTCCATGGCGCCCCCTGGCAGGCGCGGAGCCCCTCTGCCCCACCGGGTGCCGCAGGCCCACAGGGAGCTTTGGAAAGGCCGCTGTGCTGGTCAGGTGTGGGGCAAGGCGGGCACAGGGGCTCACCCCCAAACCTCCAGGCTGAAAACGAAGTTTCCTTCTTCCCCCCATGCTTTGTGGGCAGTGGGTGGGGCCTGGCCATCCAGGCCTCCATCCTGCATCCCCACCCGCTGGGGCAGAGTGGGTTTGGGAATCCTGCACTGCAGCCCAGCCCCACTTCTGGGGGCGTGGTCAGGGAGGCCTTCCTGGAGGGGGCATGCTGAGCTGAAGTCCCCAAGAACAGAAGGAGGCATGCGCCAGGGTTGTGGGCGTAACCTGGCGTGGGGGGTGCAGGGAAGCTCGGGGCAGTGGGTGTGGAGGTGGGCGGGGCACCCACGGGGCCAGCTTGGTCCTCGGGCCCTCTCCCCGCAGAAGTGCCTGGTCCAGGTGGCCTTCCGGCCAGTGCTGCCCAGCGAGGTGGTCCGCCAGCAGGCCTTCCAGGCCATGAACAAAGACGGGGAGGCGAAATTGGTGAGGGAGGGCGCCGAGAGGAGGGCACGGGGGGGGGGCAGGGGGGGCGCAGGAGGGGCTGCCGGCTCCCTGCACGAAGGGTCCGGGACAAACAGCCCCGCCCCCGCCCCTCCAGTCTGTTCCCAGAGTTTACAGCATTTTCTCGGGAGGCTCCTCCCTCCACTCTTGGGAGCACCACCAGGCAAGGCGGGTGCCCAGAGGGAGGCTGGGGAGCGGGTGGGGCTTCCCCTGCCCGAGGTGACAGTGGCGGGCGAACAGGTGACTGGCAGGAAGCCCGGCATCCGGCGCCGCCCGTGACAGCCCTCAGGGACCCCGAGAACTGGAGAGGAGCGGTGGGAGCACCCACCCAGGGGCAGCCCAGGGGGGTGGGGGCAGGTGGCCCTGCGGGTGGCGCAGGGGGGCTCCCGGTCACACAGAGCCGCCCGCCCAGGACTCGGAGGGGCCGCCGCCCGCCCAGCACCCCCGCTCTTCCCCTGGGGCACACTCACGCAGACCTGGGTCTGGCCACCCGCACCCTCTGTGCCCCGGTTTCCCTGCTGATGCAGGCGCACCCTGGAGCCGGCGCCTGGGCCCCCGGGGTCTCCGCGCTGGGGCGCCCTCTCCCCAGGACTGTGCCTGGTCTTCCTTGCTGCAGCCCCTGCTGCCAGTCCCCGCCCCGAGGGAACCACCTGTGGTCTGGGGGCCCACACCTTGCATACCCGGGCCCCCGGGGCTCGAGCCCCGGGCCTGCCCACAGCTGGCCTCTCGCCACACAGTCCCGCAAGGAGGCGCCCGCCTCCAGGAAGGACCCGCGGAGACAGTCCCTGTCCGTGCAGCGGACGCAGCACCGCGACCGGCTGTTCCGGGCCTCCACCTCCCTCGCCCTGGAGATGCAGAAGCAGGACCTCAAGTTCAGGTGGGCGCAGAGAGGGCTGCCCCCGCCCCCCACTCCCTCCGGGGGGACGCAGGGCCCCACAGGCTTCCCAGAGGTGCTCTGAGCGTGCTCTGGAGGCCTGGCACGGAGCTGATGTCAGAAACAGCTGGATCCAGGTGCTGCCCTGAGGCCCCATGGGCTCCCTTCCTGGGCCTATGCCCCCCCTCCGTTCCCCTGGAGCCGGGGTCCCTGGGGACAGCCTCCCTCCCCGGGCTGCCACAGCCCCAGCCCCCCTGGGTAGAGAGTGAGCCCCCAAGAGCTCAGATGGCCTTGAGGCCCCTGCCAGCCCTAGACCCTCGCCTGGGGCCTCGGGAACAGAGGTCTCTGGTTAGGGGCCTGGCCAGGGCCCTGGGGTGGGAGGGCAGCTCCCACAGCAATCTGGGAAGGGGGGCGCCCGCTGGTCAGGCAGCCCCGGGACAGACCCTGTGTGGCCCCTGAGAGCAGGCGTGGCCTGGTGGGCCTGCCCACGGAGGGTGGGGTGGGGTGGGGTGGGGTGGGGTGGGGTGGGGCCCGTCCCCGGACAGCTGGGGGTGCGGAGTGGGCCCTGGCACAGGTGCGGTCTGCTGGCTCTCCACAGTCACGAGTACCAGGTGGCCCAGGCCGCCCTGGCCCGGTCGTTCCCGGGGAAGTTTGACAAGTTCGTGGTCCCCTGTGTCGTGGCCAGCGGTGACGTGGAAGGCAGGAAGGCCATGGAGCCCCTGAGCTTCAGGTGCGGCGCTCGGGACCCGGCGGGACGTGGTCAGCCGAAAAGTCACTGTCCCCCTTGCACTGCCAGCCCAGACCCAGGGCCTGCGGGTGGGGGCCGGGGGCCGGGCTGGGCGGGGCCTGGGCGAGGGGCCGGGCTGGGGATGCGGGCACAGTGCCCTCAGCGTGCCCTGCCCCCGCAGCCCCCACAACACCCTGTACCTGGAGCTGTGGTGCCCCGCGGTGGCCCCGTCCCTCGTAGTGACCTCTGACAAGGGCAGCACCGTCACCAGCTTCGGCGACATCGCTGTGGGTGAGTCCCCATGGGGCCCGGCGCCCACGCCCCCACCCACGGGAACCCGGACGCCCAGTGCCTGCCAGGCTGCCCCCCACCACCCCAGGCGGGCCTGCGTCCCGGCCTGAGCCCCGGCCCGTTTCAGGACACCGAGGCGTGAAGAAGGTCTCCATCCAGAACATCACCTCCGAGGACCTGGCCGTATCCGCGCCTGGTGGGGCTGGTGGGGACCAGGGGGCCATGTGAGGGGCGGCAGCCCCGCCCCCCTGCCTCTCCTTGACTCGGGGCCTCAGGTGGACTTCTCTGTGCTGAACCCCAATGGCCCCTTCGTCCTGTTGAACCCCGTCAGCAAGCTGCCCGCAGGGCAGACACACGTCCTGGTGCTGTCCTTCTCTCCCCGCCAGAGCATGCTGGTGAGGCCCAGCCCCCCCCCCGTGCGCCCCCTCTCCACCCCGCCCCGCCCGTCCCCCTGCGCCCTGGTCGTCTCCGGCCGAAGGAGGCGGCTGGGGTGGTCAGGGCGGTCTCAGCCCCATCCTGTCCCGCCCCGGCGGCTCCCGAGACGGAGCTCCTGCAGGAGACGTGCCTGGCCCACGCCTGCCCCACGCCAACACACGTGACGTCTGTAGGCCCAAGAGACACTGGACATCGTCACCAAGAGAGGCACGCTCTCCCTGACGCTCTCGGGCACCGGCGTGGCCTCCCTGATCACGTGCTCCATCGAAGGGGACGTCCTGAACATGGGCTACGTGATCGCCAGGGAGTCCGTCTCCTCCACCTTCCAGGTGAAGCGCACTGCTGGGCCTGGCGTCTTTCCTGGCCTTCGGGGGGGGGGGGCAGCTCAGCTGTGCCCTGGGGACCACGCTGCCTCGGTCAGAACCAGTGCACGTGCGAGGCTGGCCCCCTGCGTCCCAGGGGCCCAGTGGCCTTGGGGTCAAGTCTCCTGCGGGACACCTGCTAGCTGGGCTGGCGGAGGTCAAGTCCTGCAGCAGGGCCCCAAAGGCAGATGATTCCGGGAGGCGTTTACTGATGGAGCTGCTCTCGGGGGGAAGGGGTGGCCGGCTGGGGAGACGCTGGCGGGACGGAGGCCACCGTGAGCTGCCCACCTTGAGGCAGGGCCGCTCAGGCCGGGTACAGGGGGCCGGAAGGGGGCAGCAGGGCCCGCCAGCCCCAGCCGCGGCCCCGGCCGCGACGGGCGGCCTACTGACGACACATGCCCGCAGCTGCAGAACAGCTCCTCGCTGCCCATCAAGTTCTCCATGCAGCTGGACAGCCTCTCCAGCTCCCGGCGCGAGGACCGGCAGCAGCTGCCGCAGTTCCTCCTCTCGTCAGCCCAGAGGACGGATGTCGTGGGTGAGCTGGGGGGCGTGGGGTTGGGCAGGGGTCGGGGGGCAGGGGGGTGGTCACGGACCGGCGTGCCCCGGCCTGCAGGCACACAGAACCACAACGGCCAGAGCGTGTTCGCCGTGGCTCCGGTGGAGGGCATCTTGGACCCCGGGGCCGGGCAGGACTTCACCCTGACTTTCAGCCCGGACCACGAGAGCCTGTACTTCTCGGACCAGCTGCGGGTCGTCCTCTTCGAGAAGGTGCGTCCCCTCCTCCCGGGCGCGTGGGCGGGGCTCCCCGCCCTGCTCCTCTTGGGAGGCCCAGGGCCCGGGCCTGATGGGGCTCTGAGCTCGGCGGGGCATCGTCAGGGGAGAGCCCGGGGGCCGGGGGCTCCTGGAGCCCAGCACGGGCCGCACAACGAGGCCGCTGCGCCCCGGCCCAGAAAGTCTCCCGGAAGATCCTCCTGAAGGGCGCGGCCCGTGAGCACATGATGTTCGTGGAGGGCGGAGACCCGCTGGACGTGCCCGTGGAGTCCTTGACCGGAATCCCGGCCGGCGACCCGGAGCACAGAGAGGGTGAGCCCCCGGGGGGTGGGGCGTGCTGGGGCCCCCCGAGGACCCGCTGCCCTCTGCCCCCAGCCGCCTCTGCCGGCTGCACCTGCCCCAGCGGTCCCCAACCTGACCCTCCATCGCCAGACGCCGAGGAGCTGAAGCCCATCCTGGTGACCCTGGACTACGTCCAGCTGGACACCGACACGCCAGCCCCACCCGCCACACGCGAGCTGCTGGTGGGCTGCATCCGGACCACCCAGCTGTCCCCAAAGAAGGTGACCACAGCACGGCCCCAGCCCACCCAGCACCTCGGGGGTGCCCCCCCGCCGCGCCTGGGCAGCCCCAGCCCATGTAGCCTCGCCGCTCCCGGGTGTGGGCCGAGAGGGCGGGTGGGGCTGGCGCCCGGCGCCTCCTGGGGGCGGAGCGCGGTCCGGTTGCCAGCGGCTCCCGCGCCCGCAGACGGTGGAGTTCAGCCTGGACAGCGTCGCGTCCCTGCAGCACCGGGGCTTCACCGTGGAGCCCCCTCGGGGCGTGGTGGAGCGCGGCCAGACCAAGACCATCAGCATCTCCTGGGTGCCGCCCGCTGACTTCGACGTAGGTGCTCCCCCGGGAGCCCCGCGGAGCCACAGCCGGGGCAGGGCGCCCCTCTGCACCGCCCAGGGAGGGGCTGCGGGGCGGGCCGGGCGGGCGAGGCGGGCGGTGCAGCCGCCAGACGGAGATCTGGCCGGTGAGCTGCCCGCCGGCTCAGTGCTCCCTCCCCCCTCCCGACCCCTCTGCAGCCGGACCACCCGCTCCAGGTGTCCGCCCTGCTGCAGCTCCGGGGGGACGTGAAGGAGACCTACAAGATCTTCTTCGTCGCTCAGGTGCTGACGGGCCCCTGAGGTCCCAGGAGCCTCTCCACGCAGCCCCCGAGACCCTCCGGCCCCCCAGAAGCACCCCCCGGTCTGTGGGCTGGGTCAGGCAGCGAGGGCCGGGACCGGGGCATCCACTGCTGGGCGGGTTCGATTCGGCAGCCCTCTGCTCGACCGCGTGGCCGAGGCCCCCGGGCGCCCGCACGGTGGCCCCCTGCAGCCCTGGACCTGACGAGCCCAGGGGCCGAGAGCTCCCCTTCCTGCCGCCCGCCCCTGCCTGAGCCCCGCCAGCACCTGACTGGTGTGGGCGGGAGCTGGGAATAAACACGCTGCGTGCTCTGCGTGCTGGTGTGCAGTGTGGACGACCACGCGCCACTCAGGGCTGTGGGCGGAATGAGAGGCGGGAGTGCAACCCTGGGGACATCCCCGCCCCGCCCCCCGAAGAATTAGTGCACAACCCAACGAGGACTGCCTGGGAGCCTCTGCGGGGCCTCCCTCGGGGCGGTGCCTGTGTCATGCAGGGTGGCGGGGGGACAGCAGGCAGGGCTGGAGGGGCCCCCAGAAGGGAGAAAGGGGAGGCAACTCTGAAGCCCAGGGGGGCCCTCAGCCTTCCCTGCTCCTCCCGAGTCCCAGGATCCCGGACGACCCTCAGCAAGGGGCGAGCAAATGCCGGGACACCCCGGCCGGGGCCCAGGCTGAGGCCAGCACACGTGTCCGGGTCCCCTTTCCTGAACTGGGCCCAAACTTGGCCCTCAGGCACAACTGGCCTTTCGAGATAGAAGCCTCCCCACGCCAGGCCCATGGGACACTCCTGGGAGCTCATGGTGGTGCCTGAGCCCCAGCCCCTGCCTCCTGAGGGCTGGCTGGGTGGACGGAGCCCACCCACCCCGGCACCCACCAGGGCAGCACTGCAGCCTCGGCTGGGCACAGACTCTGGACACCAGCCCGCAGCCACCTGCCATCCCCAGCTTCTCATCGCCTTGGGGCCTGGAAGCCTGACCTTGAGCCTGTGACAGTGACCCTAGGGACACCTTTGGCAGGACTGGATGGGCAGACCCAGGTTCCTTCCTGCCCCTCACTGGGGTGGGCCAGAATGCACGCCGCCTCTCCACCCAGCGGCGGCCAACAGAGACGCTTGGGTCCGTGGGCCTGCCGGCCCCAGGAGCAGGCTCTCCCTGCAGGCCTCTCCTGCCCCCTCCTCAGGTGGGCGGCCAGCGGGAGGGGCCGGCCGCTGGCTTCCGACGCCTGGCCTGGCTCTCCTGCTCGGGCCCCCTGGTGCTGAACTCGCTGCCCACCCCCCTCCCTCCCACCCCTGCGCTGGGCCTGGACGGCAGTGGAGGAGGGAGCAGAGCCCAGCTGGAGGGCCCGGGGGGGCGGCCTGGAAGCCTGGAGGTGAGGGACAGGTCTGGGACAGAGCCCCCCCCACACACACACACACAGGGATGGGGGCTGCGCGGCAGGCGCCTGGCGGGTCAGGCAGCAGGGAGCCGGGGGTGAGGGGCGGCCCTGCTCTCCAGCGGATAGTCCCTCCCCTTCCGAGGCAGAGAGGCGTGCAGAGTGTGTGCTGGGTGCAACAAGAGCCCGGGCAGGGAGCTGCTGCCCCCACCCTCCCTGGACCAGGTGCTCATGTGCTGACCACCTCCCTGGGCCTGATCCCCAGATGGTGGGCGGAGGGGTGGGAGTAGGGGGACCTCCTGGGAGAAATAACCTCCAGCGTTCCCAAGTGGGAGGGACGGTGGGCAGTGCTGGCCCACAGGCCACAGAGGCCACGGTCCCCAGGTTGAGCACGGCTTTCAAGGCATAAACGCTCCCAGAAAGTGGTCTGCAGCCCAGGACGCAGCGAGGGCCAGAGCCGGGCTCCGATCCCCGCGAGCCAGCCCCGGCCGGCCAGCGTGCGCCTGCAGCCTTCCTGTCGTTGAACAGGGCTGGGGCTCGCCGGGCGCTCCCCTGCCGCAGCCCTTTACGCGGAGCACCGCGGTGTGTGCCCCGTTTGGCCACATGGGTTCCGGCAGCCACGCGCCCCGGCCACAGCTTCCCAGCCCGAGGGTAGGACCGCAGAGCGCTTTGCGCCTCCGCCGAGGGTGAGACCGCCCCCCAAGCCCCGAGGCCGCAGGATCGGCGACCAGGAGGGAACCCGCCGCCAGGCGGGACTTCCAGGGGGCGGGCCCCACGTGGGCGGTCCCTCAGGGCGCGGAGCTGGGGGCGCGGTCGCGGGACTAGGCCTCCGAGGGGCGGAGCCTGCGGTGGGGGGGGCGTCGAAAGGACGGGGCTCTCACTGGGTGCAAACGTGGGGGCGGGGTCACTGGGCCTGGGCGGGGCCTGTGCTGGGCGGGGCCTCCATAAAGCCGCCCGGCGGCCTGACTGGCGCTCGGGGTCTGTGCCCAGAATGTCCGCGGAGCCGTCGGCCGCCCGCGGGCTCCTGCCGCTGCTGCTGCCGCTCCTGCCGCTGCCGCAGGTGGGTCGCCCCGCGCTGGCTTGGGTTCCGCGGGGCGGGCCTTCGCCAGGAGCGCCCGGCCTCAGCTCACCCCTGTCCCCACAGGTGACTCTGGGCTTCTCGGACCGCAGCTGCGACCCCTCGGACCAGTGAGTGGGAGGCGGTGGCGGGGAGGGAGCAGGGGCCTGGCCCCGCCCTCAGGGGGCGGTGGGGCGGGGCGGCCGGCGGACCGAGCCCGCCCGCTCCAGGTGCTGCTGTCCACGCAGGTGCCCGCCCCAGGCCCGCTGGAGCAGCCTGTGGCACGTGGGGTAAGTGGAGGCCACGGCGCCGAGCTGGGTCCGGCGGTTCCCCCGGGGCCAAGCCCACCGGATCCCCACCCCGCCTGGCTCCACGGCCGAGCCGTAGCCAGCGCTGTCCCTCTCCGGGGCGGCGGTACGGCCCGGCGGCCCTCAGCAGCCTGGAAGGCTGAGCCCAGCCTCCCGCCTCCTGCGCTGGGGGCGGCCTCCCCGTGGGTCCTGCCTGAGCCCTGGGCACGCTTCCCTCCGGAGCCCGCTTGCCCACCTCCCACTCCCTCCTTCCTCACTCCTGAGGGAGTCTCTGTGGACACGGTCGCTGGTCTGGGCACAGGATTATGCAGCCGGCCCAGGACAGTGTGTCCTGGGAGTGAGCCCAAGGCCACTTGTGGCCAGCCCTGGAGAGACAGCCAGGGCCAGCACCAGGAGGCCAGCACTGGCCAGCCCCTCAGGCCCGGCTCCAGCCAGGAAGGAGGTGTTTGCCTGGAGAGACACCCTCTGGTCTCCCCCTGTCCTGCCCGCTCTCCTGCCCAGCTCGGCCAGCCGTGGGGGAGCAGGCCCCTCGTGGCGGGGGGGCCGGCCAGCGGTCGGGTCTTTCTCCACCTTGCCCAGGCTCGTCCTGCTGGCCGTGCTGCTGCTGCTGCTGTGTGGGGTCGCAGCCAGCTGTGTCCGGTTCTGCTGCCTCCGGAAGCGGGCCCATGCCCGGCCGCGCCTGCCGTCCAGGCCTCAGCCCTGCGACCTGACGTTCGGCCCCGTGGACAGCGACAGCCCCGTGCACAGCACCGTGACCTGTGAGTGCCTGCGCACCTGGCCGGGCAGCCCACCTGCCTCCAGGGGGCGGGGGCTGGGGGGCCAAGCCCGTCCCCGCAAACACAGCCTGGTTCCCGGCAGCCTACAGCTCCGTGCAGTACCCGCTGGGCACGCGGCTGCCCCTGCCCTTCGGGGAGCTGGACCTGGACTCCATGACCCCTCCTGCCTACAGCCTCTACGCCCTGGAGCTGCCTCCCTCCTACGACGAAGCTGTCAAGATGGCTAAACCCGGGCAGGGAGAGGCTCCTCCTCAGTAGCCTAGCCCCCTTTCTGGGACCTCAGACCCAGAAAGCTCTCCAGGGCCCAGGGGCTGAGCCGCAAAGCCCAACACCACCAGCTGTGGCCCTGGCGCCACTCCGAGGGGCGGGGAAGGTCTCCTGAGCTCCCAGGGCCACCAGCCACCTCGTGCTCCCAGGAGACCCCAGTCCACTCTCAGCATCCTTCCCCGGGGAAGGGCAGACGTCCAGCACATTGCTGCAGCCCGAGCCCTGTCGCCACGCGACTCCAGGCAGACACACACACACGAGCGCGCACGCACACACACACAGGTTGCCACGTCCAGCCCCTGGCCTGCCCCAGCAGGCCCTCTGCCTGAAGGGCGTCCCCAAGGTCTAAGCCTCCACACATTTCCGGAGAGAATAAAATTTGTATCTAACTGGTCTCCGCCCGTGGGGAAGGGCTCCGGGAGGGGCTCCCAGGCGGCCGCCCCCAGTGCAGGCAGACGGCGTGGGTGCTTGGGCTTGGCCTGTGCCGGGCCTCGCCTCCGGGCTGCTGTTGTGGGGGGGGTCAAGTGTCACAGCAGGCATGACGGGCCGTGTGCCCTGGGTGACTCTGGGCAACCCCCTCCCTCCCGCTGGCCCACATCTTCCCGAGGCTGGAAACAGTGAGGCGCTCAGGGGTCTGGCGGGCACGTTTATTAGCCGAGCTGCTGGGGCGGGGCGGGGCGGGGAGTGGTGGGCTGGGCGGCAGTGGGCGGCGGCCGGCAGCGGGCACAGCTCCTCAGTCGGGCAGGCTGCCCGCAGCCAGCGCAGCTGCTCCTACTGGACCAGCTTGAAGGACTCTCCGGTCATCATGGCCACGAACTCTGGAAGCAGAGGGCCGGTCAGCAGCCCCGCCTGGCCGGGCGGCGGGCTCCCAGGGCCCGGCCCCGCTCACCCTCGTAGTCGATGGTCCCGTCCCCGTCCTTGTCCGCCTCCTTCATCATCTGCTCCGCCTCCACCTCATTGAGGGGCTCGCCCGCGTTCATGAGCACATACCTGTGGGACCCCCGGCCCCCACAGTGAGCGGTGCCCGGGGGCGGGCGAGTGGCGCCTGCCCTCGCCCGCCCCGCCCACCCCGCCCGCCCGGCCCTACTTGAGGGTGTCCCAGTCGATGTAGCCCTTGCCCTCCTTGTCAAAGACGCGGAAGGCCGCCCGCAGCTCGCCCTCCTGGTTCTGGGCCTTCTCCCAGTAAATCCCCATCAGGGCCAGGAAGCTGTCGCAGTTGAAGAAGCCTTTGTCTGCAGGGAGCAAGGGGCCGGAGGTCCCACGTGAGGGGCCGGGCACCGCCCCCCGCCCACTCGCACGCCGGGTACCCCCCGGCTCCCCGCCTGGGCTCACTGTCTCGGTCCACGTCCTTGGCCATGGAGGTCAGCTCGCTCTTGGTGGGGTTGATGCCCAGCAGGCTCATGAGCCGCTCCAGCTCGGCTGTCTTCACCTCCCCATTGCCCTCCTCGTCGAACATCTCGAAGACGCCCTTGTACTCCGTGATCTGCGCGGCCGTCAGGCGCTCCGTCTGCGGGGACACGGGGACGCGGGGACACACCAGCCAGCTGCACAGGGGCCCTCTGCCCTCCGACCCGGGGAGGTTGGCGGCCCCCGGCAGGGCCTGTGGCACAACACGCCCTTCGGAGGAGCTCCTGGTTTACACAGGAGGCGCCAGCCCGGGGCCGGCTCCAGAGCAAGGGCAGCACGTGGTGGGGCCTGCGGGAGCAGCAGTAGGGGCTGCAGGGCCTGGGACCCAGCAGGGGACACACGGTGGGGCCAGGCGAAGGACATGGGGACCGACGTGGGGAGGAGCCGCCCAGGCCAGGCTGAAGGCTCCAGGGGAAGGGGCTTCCAGACCTGCACCCAGACAGAGCATGGGGCACAGCCTGTCCTGACATCCCAGCGGGACAGTGCGGCACCTGGCCACCTCTGCCCGCCACCACCATGGCAGCTTTGGGAGAGGGTTGCTTAGCCCCACCCCAAACTCTGCCCTCGTCGAACTTCTTCCTCGGGTTCCCGGAGAGACCCTTACGGCTTCAGGCCCAGCCATCCCTGCGCCTGGGGGCCCCACCCACCCTCTCTGCCCCAGGGTGGCTCCCAGCCCCGCTCCACCACCCAGCAGCCCACGGAGGGCCTCACCATGTCTGTGGCTGCCTGAGGGGACAGTGCGCCGTGCCACTAGAGCTGCTGTGGGCAGAGCACAGGGGCGGGGATGGCAGCTGCGTTTTAGCTGGGCCTGGCTGCCTGGGGTCCCCGGGGTCCGGATTCCAAGAGCCTTTTATGGCCAGGAGATCCTGCTGGCCCTGTTTAGGGACAGGCCTGACCCTTCCCTGTAGGGCTCCTTCCTGGCCCTCCTCGGCCTGGGCATCCCCTTGCCCAGAGCGCCCCTCGGACCCTGAGTTCCAGCCAAGACCCCAGCCCCAGCCTCAGCCCTCCCAGGGCCGCAGCGAGGATGGACACCTCAGGCTGAGGGCAGCAAAGGGACTGACCCCTCTCTGCTCTATCACCCTCCTCCCTACTTGCGGCAGGACCCTGACGGTGGCTGCCATCGCTTATTTGTGAGGGCTCTTGTCGGACACCCACCTGGTCGGGCATCACCCTCATGTCTGTGCAGACCCAGCGCCGGCCGGTGCCAGCACCTGGCAGACCCCCTAAGACAGGGGAGGGTGCCAACGCTCCTCCCACCCCCAGTGAGTGTGGCAGGGGCTCTGGGTTCACGTGGCTGGGGGGCGGGGGCAGAACTGATGGGGCCAGGGGGCTCAAACCGGCCACCAGGAGGCCAGGCCAGCTTTCCTCTGGACATCAGGGGGCTATTCTCAGGGAAACCTGACCTCCCTCCGGCTCAGAACAGCAGAGCTGGCTCCTGAGGGATCGGGGAGCCGGGAGCGGGCTGTTTAGTGACAAGAATCCACAGCTGCACATACCTGCACACGTGTGCTCAGCCCTCAGGCACAGGCACCCCCCTGGGGCTCCCAACGCCTCTGCCCAGGTCAGCTGCTCCCCCACCCGTTCCAGTTCCTGGGCTCAGGGAGAGTCACAGTCGGCCCCACCCAGTTCCTGTCACCCCTCCCCCACCACGTGTGGTCCCCAGGGGCCCCTGTGCGTGTGCACACACACCTGCCCCGGCCTGATGAGTCTGAGCAGGTGAGCCCTGCCTTGCCCCCCCCCCGGCCCCCCCTGCCGTGCTGGCTCCGCCTCCGTGGTATCTGAAGCCACAGGGACGCCAGCTGCTGAGGCTGCAAGAATTGTGCTGACCGGGACAGGACGGCTCCAGCAGGCGCCAGGCCATGGGGCGGCTGGGCCGGAGGAAAAGCCTGCTCTGGGTCCCTCTCTTGATGGCGAGAAGCCTTTCCCACCTCCCCCTCTTGAGAGACCCAAGCTACAGGAGTCGGAAGTGCAGCACCATTTCCAGGAAACTCTTCGCATCCAAAAGTCCGAACCACAACACGTAGGGGAGACAGCAGAGGGGACTGGACGTGCGGACGGACTGGGTGGGGAAGCCCGAGGGCCTCGGGGAAAGAGCATGGGGGTCACGTCTCGCCACCCTAGCCAGGCTCTGGCGCCAGAGGTTTGCTGCCACCCCAGTCTAGGCCATGCGGTGAAGGTTTTGTTTTTTCATATAGCTATTGAGTGCAGCGGTGGGATTTGCATAAAATATTCCTGTGAAAGGGAGGAACATTTACTGAGCCTCAATTACACACCATAACCTTTTTGTTTGTTCTTTCTTTTTTATTACCCAGGACAGACACACAGCACGTAAGTAAAAGTTACCATCCCAACGGCTTCTGCAGGCGCAGCTCTGGGAATCCAGGCGCGTGCACACCCCCCCGTGCAGCCGTCACCACCAGGACCTCCAGAACTTCCAGTCTTCCAGAACTGAAACTCTGTTTCCACTCAACACTCACCCCACCTGTGCCCCGGCCCCTGCACCTGCCCCTGCACCGCCATCTACTCTCTGTCTCTGGGGGTCCGAGTCCTGCGGGGACCTCACGTGGGTGGGGTCACACAGCACGTGTCCTTCTCTGTCTGGTCTGGCTTGTTTCACACAGCACGCCCTGAAGGCCCATCCATGTAGCACGTGTCAGAATTTCGTTCCTTTCTTATGGCCGGAGAATAATCGGCTCACGTGCCTATGGAGTCCAGGAAATTCCAGGATCTGCCAGTTGCGAGCAGGAGATGGCAGGTGGTGGCCTTAAGTCTGACAGCAAAGGCCTGAGAGCCAGGGGCGCAGAGGGCAGAGGGCAGGGCAGGGCAGACGTCCCAGCCAGGCAGACAGGCGCCGTCGTGCCTCTGCGTTCCCTGCGGGCCCTCGAGAGCTCGCCCGGTGCCGTCCACCCTCTTACTTGCTCAGTCGGCAGATTCGAAGGCTTCTGGAGAAGCCCGCACAGACATCCTGCCCCCTTCGGATCCTGGGGTCCCACCTTTTGCCCGTCACGCGGCCCCACCCCGTCGCTCGGCCCCGTCCGTGGCCCAAAGCTAGGTCCCGCCCCAACACCCAGTTCCGCCCTCTCTCGGGCGCTCAGCCTCGCTCCCGACCAGGGCTAGGCCCCGCCCCTGTCACTCAGACCCCTCGCAGGGCCCCGTCCCAGGCCCATCACTCGGCCCCGCCCCAACACCCGGCTCCGCCTTCCCTCCATCTCTCAGCTCCGCCCCCGGCCCATCGCTAGGCCCCGCCCCTCTCCGTCATTCGGCCCGACGTTTTGCCGGGCTTGTGGTCCGTCCCATCATCCAGCCCCACCCTGTCACCGGCCTTCGCCCAGGGTCAGCTCGACTCCGCCCCCTTGGTTCCGCCCCCTTCTGCCTGTGGTTCCCCCGCCCCGTCACTCAACCCCAGCCCGGAAGCGGCGCGCGGGGCGGACGGTCCGCGCGTCTGCACCAGGCGGCGCTCACGGGCCGCGTGGAGCCGGGCGGGAGCGCAGCGGGGCTGGGCGGTGCACCGGGCCGGCAGCAGTTCCGGGTCCGCGGCGGTGGGGGTCGGCCCTAGGGAGGTGGAGTGGGGCGGGGTCTTCGTCCGGTAAACCTGCCCGGGCCGCGTACGGCCCCTCGTTTCAAAACCCTGCCCTCCGAGGCTGACTTGGGGCTCCCACCATCGCTAGGACAGAAGCAGGTGTAAACATCCCTTTCCTTGTCCGGTGGGACAGACCACAGTGCCCCGTCCGGTCCGCCGCGGGGCAGACAGTGGGTCAGGGCGTGGACTGCGCAGTTGTGCAGCCTTCGCTCGACCCGACCACCGCGCCTGCGGGCAAGTCCCCAGGTAGACCCGGTGCACGGCAGGGCGGGGCAGGCCTGCCCCCGGGGTGGCCCAGCTGCAGGGGCCCTGGCCCCGGGCGTCCTGAGGTCCTCCTGCCCTGCGCAGGGCCCTGACGGGCTGTGCGTCCCCGGGGGTCCTCCTGCCCTGCGCAGGCCCCGG